ATCTCTTCTCAGTGTCTTTCTCTGTGCAAATTAATTTGGGAAAAAATGGCTCCATACAAAAAAGTTTGTCCCTGGTGATCCTTTCATGTGCTATTAACTAATCTGATTTCTAAACATTCCTAGAATTTAATTGTGTGTGCCTCTTACACAGCAGAATAACTATTTAAATCATCTGCAGTTGGAATGGTAGTCAGAAAGAGATAAATATTACCTATAGCCACTGGTAGTCAGGATACTGCAGAGCTGCACATTACATGATTTGCAACATGAGATGCAAGCCAAACTGGGTTAAATCCATGGTCGAGAAGAAACTAAAGTAGACTCCTGTCTCAAAAGAAGCTAACATTGCATTTGCACTCAACAGAGCGTTAGTGAGAAAAAAAAGCATCCTTTCTCAAGTGAAGCAGGACAGACAAATCTGCAAAAGATTTAAATAAAAAAAAAAGTCAGTTAAAGTAATCTTATGGAATGTTTGGTTTCTGACATAATAATGTAAGGGAGATTGAATAAAACCCGGTAGCAAGGAGATATTCTGCTTTGCTACAGAATCATAATCTGTGTAAAAAATCCTAGTATAAAGTGCATTACATATAGCTTAATTGAAAAAAATATAGTATATATGACAAAAGGATTGAAGGAAGCATTCATACCCTGCAAGTACTATAGTCTGTTATCAATATTTAATAGCTATATGTAAAGCTTCTAGCTTTGGGGACAAAAAGGAGTACTAAAAATTGGAGATTCACAGAGCAGAGCTCTTTTCTTTGATTGCTTGTTCTTGCCTTCAAAATTCATGATTTCAAGTTAGTCCACGTGCAGTATGAACTATATAATGGCTCAGAAACAAAGGAAGGAACATGACAGCCATCTGCCACACCAGCAGACGCAAGATATACCTAGTAGCTAAAGCCTACCTCCTGCTTGTAGCTTTTCTGGTAATGAGTTGGTAAATGGTTATGGTTGAGTTAATTAAACATTAACTGTTGAGTCTGGCTGAGATGATGTCAAGTTGCTTTCTAACAATGAACATAAATAATTTAGAAGAGTGGGAGATCAGTAGCTAAGGTTTGCATATTAGAGCTTTGTACAATGTCTGGAATCAGCCACACAACTACACAACATTAAAAAAGCAGCTGTAAAAAGTACACTTAGAAGGTTGGATTTATCTTCTATTAGATGGGTATGCACAGTAACTTCCAACAGGCTTGAGTCAGACTGAGAAAGAAATCCAAGGCATGGGTCATGCAGATATATGGACCATATAGGTAGCAGCAGTTTTAATTTCAGTGCTTTCTATTAAGATATAGAGAATAAAGCAAGCAGATTGAATCCTAGACCTCTGGATCCTCCTAGAACAGGGTTGTTAAACTCAATTTCATTGAGGGCAGCATCAGCATTATGATTGCCCTCAAAGAGCCAGTTGCTGTTCCCTTTTCTCCCATAGGCTTGCTCCACTGACAACTCTCATCTCCTCCCTATTGCTTTCTCTCCCCCCCCCACACTCCTCCTCCTTCCTGCCAAAACCTCTCCTTTTTTATCCTCTCCTCTCCTCCCCCATACTTCCACTCACTACCCAGCTGGCCTTTTCACACAGCACTTATCAGCTGGAGCTGTGTGCTGATTCTGGGGTCCCCGCCAATCCCTGGCAGCCCCACAGCTTCAGCTCTGCATGTGGTTGCCAACCACCTCCCGAGGCCGCCAGAAGCCCCGATCAGCTGGAGCCCTATGCGCCAATCCCAGAGCCTCAGCAGAGCACAGCAACATCACAGCTCCAGCTGACTCTCCCCCAGACCTCTCTGGCATTGCCACTGCTTCAGCTCACCTCTCCCCACTACATACTTAATCACCTCCTCCTACTAGTCTGCTTGCAGGCCATGTCTGTCCTAGAGGGATAGGTGTACCCTATGTCTCAGTGGGAAAGATATAATGCCTATGTTGAGCTGGTTTGCTAATTGTGTCCTTTTCTGGAATGTGTGGCCTTGCAGTATTTATCCATGCCTTCCTCACATCACAGACTGACTACTGTAGTTTATTTTTTGCAAGCCTGCCTTTGAAGACTATATTTAAAGATTATCTGAAAGAAGCAGTACCGAATCCAGCCTGCTTATTAGTGGGCAAGTGTCATATAACACTATTATTGCTAGTTCCAAAGTGCAATTGCAAAATGTTGCTTTTAACCTAATAAAAAGTCCTTTCTACCTTAGAGCCTAGGTTACCTGCTTCAAGAAGAATCAACCCACCCAGAAAATTCCCTCCTGCAAGAAGATCAAAGGGAAATTTCGAGCAATTGATTGTTTGGTTGTACCTTATCTCCTCTCTGCTTTGCTTTTGGAGTTCAGATGGCTCTCCCTCCCCTTTATAGTGTTTTAAAGAATAACCAAGACAGAGTTCTTCCATGGAGCATTATTAATTAATTTAATTAAATTATACAATTTTTGTCCTGCTGCAATCTGTTTCACAGATTTCAGCCTCTTCAAATTTATGATTACTCTAGTCCAGGGGTGTCAAACTGCCGGCCATGGGCCAGTTGAATCATACAGAGGCCATGTCCACCCCAGCTCCAGCAATGCAAAAAAAGTCACAATATGTCGCAACACATCACGTGACGCAGGGAGTTTGACACCTATGCTCTAGTCTGTAGATTGCACGATTCATCATATATTTCTGTAAAAATTTTGAAAGCACATTGTTATATTTTTTATTTTTATTTTATATTTTTATTTATTATTTATTAAATCTATATTTAATTATTTATTAAACCACAAACTAGAGTGGGCAAAAGATGGAATAAAAATCAATGGCACTTATTTAAATCACTTAAGATTTGCAGATGATGTTTTCTTCCCACAAGACCCAGAAAAGCTACAAAGATACATACAAGAGCTGCACGAAGCAGGAGAATCATTTGGCTTAAAAAAACAAATTGAAAAAGACTCAGGTTATGTTTAATAAAAAAAGAATTTTTTTTATATCTGGAGAAGAAGTAGACATAGTAGACCATTACATATACCTTGCCCAACAGATCTCAATGGAAGGTGATACAATAAAGGAAATTGAACGGCGGGCTAAATGTGGTTGACAGGCATTCGGCAAGCTAAGCATAATTTTCAAGAAAATGTCTGAAGAAAAAACTTTTTGATCAGTCTATGGTACCTGCTCTAACATATGCCAGTGAAACATGGACACTAACCTCACAATCGATACAAAAGCTACTAGTGGCGCAAAGAGCCATGGAAAGATACATGCTTGGCATTACAAGACAAGACAGAAAGACCTGCACAAGGATTAGAGAACAAACAAAGTATACGATATAATCAAGAAAATAAAAGAATTGCAATGGAAATGGGCTAGTCACATAGCAAGAACTGTTGGCAGGTGGACCATGGCAATCATAGAATGGATTCCACTTGACAAAAAGCGTCAACGAAAGAGACCTAAAACAAGATGGATAGATGACAACAGCAAATATTGTGAGCCCAACTGGCAAAAGACAGGTCAGTACCATGTGGGTTGGAAATATGCGGAAGAGGCCTCCATCCTGCAGTGGATAGACAATGACTAAAATGATGGTGAAATCTATATGCCACCTATCTCACTGTATTATCACTAGCATACGTTCTTGAAAATAATATTTTCTTTAAAAGATATTGCAATAAGAAAACTGAATTTTTCAGTTCAAAATGCACCTTAGATAACTTGATTTAAATAGGGACTGAAACATGAGGAAAGCATGTCTGGGCTTCAGACCATGGTATAATGTGGAGAGAATGTTGATTGCAGTTGTCAAATGACTTGTAGCAGAGTCAGAATAGGGGTGGCACATTCATCCTTACATTCCTTGATTTCTTTCAGTTCTGCCAACAAGTTTCCTTCTGGGGGTTGGGGGTGGGAGGCACTATGCTGCAGTGATTCAATTCCTCAGTGCTCAATTCCAGGCTGTGTTGATGGGAGAGATTATGCTCAAGGCTGCACACTTGTGGGGTGCCCCAGGGTTTAACATATAGATGAAACCACTGGGTGAAGTTCATGATTCAGTACCAACAGCATGCTGATAATACCCAGATTGATATCTGTGCCAGCTTTGCAAGGAAAGCTGTTGAGCTAATGACCCAGTGTTTGGAGGTCTGGATACGGAGGAACAAACTTTAACCTGAGTGGCTGTTGTGACCATAGCCTGAGAGATCTCCATCATTGGTCTTGAACAGAGTTGTACTTCCCCCATTTGAGAAGAGCAGATAGCAGCTGTGGCCAGGAGGGCCTTTGCACAAGTATATCGTATATGTTAGTTTGGTCCCAGGCCTGGAGTTACTTTGATGGGAGAGAAGGTTGTAGTGCTTTTTAATGTTTTTGTCTGGGGTGTTTTGTTTTAAATTTTTAATTGTTTTAATTTAGTATTATAGAGTGGATGGCTGTATTAAATGTAACAGCACTTAACACATCTTGGCTTACATGTACAGGTCCTTGCTGAATGACCAGGGGTTTTATTTGAAGTTACAACAGCCATGGAAAGGGTATTTTATGGCCTGTAAAATAACCTTTGGCTGCCATAAATGGTTGCACTGACTCCTGACTCAGCTTTACAACCACTTGTGACATTCTGCTGTTATGTAACCACAATGTGTTTTGCTAGTTTCTGGAATTTTTTGGTGGTTTCATTTAAATAAATGGGTTTGCTTAACTATCACGGCATTCACTTAATGGCCCCAGCATTTGCTTAACAATTGCTTCAAAAAAGACTGAAAATGTACTTTTATTCACATGGTCATAATTATGACCATAATTCCAGGCTCTATTATAAGTTGAGGACTACCTAAAAACCTCCTTGGACAAGAAAGATGCTTGAAATCCAGAAGGAATCAAATTTAAGACTGCAACACTGAGCTTTTAGACTGCTGTTACCTGTAATGTCTTAAAGCACCACCATTCTACACCATTTCTATGGGAAAGATAATTTTTCCCCATGGGAAAAAGAGCACATAAACTAAAGACTGCCAGTTGAATACATAAGAATATCTTTAAAATTTATTTGACTAATTGTGTTACATTCAGTATCTGATGTGTTTCTTCTGGACAAGGAGTTGGCATAAATACAAACAAGCCTTTGTGCCTTCTCTAAACAAGAGATAAAATACTAGAGACAGAGGAGCACAGCTTCACATCTTTGTATTTACAGTCTACCTTTACAACTTAGTGCTAGGATTATTTACAGAAAATACAGCAAGAACAAAAAATCATGTCTTGGCAACATATAGAACTTTATACATAATTGTACATGATTTTAAGCATATGGTATCTAGGCCATCTCTTTCAAAGCACTTTGTCAAAGATACCCTCTTATGATTGTGAACTCACAGTTATTTTTGTTCCCTGTTCATCTTAAGTTGTAGTCCTATAATCCTCCTGTGCCAAATATTCAGCTGCATGACAATTGTATGCTTCCTGACTGGGAAGCCATTTCACATATTGGACAGTCCAATTCTCAAGACATTCCTATCTGTTCACGACCCATTGAAGCAAATAAGGTTCTGAGGATTGGAAACAAGCTTTCTTTCCTACAGATGTGTCCCAGCTGCTCTGCATATAGATTAGCTACTTAGTTCAAACATGATTCCCTTCAGTTCCCTCCTTATGCTGTACATTAATAAACACTTGAAAATCTGCTGAAGAAAAGAGCTTTATATTTCTTTAAGTGAAAACTTTTTGTTGAAGGTAGTAAAACAGACAGCTTTTATATGGAAGTGCTATGAAGATTGCATTTTTTTTTCTTGCTCAACTTATACCAATAATAATGTATCGAAAGGATGGTAAGCACAACATTTTACGACAGAAGTAGACAGGATAAATATGTGTAGCCCTAATATTGTATCTCATAAAGAGACTGGAATGAAAGTATACAAAATGAAATGATAATAGGAAACAAGCAGCGGTAATGGTAGGAAAGCCATCTGCTTTATAAACTTACATTCTTTTTAATTACCTAGTGTAATGGTATTCAAAATAAAATTTTGAAATGTAATGGCTACCCTGAATGTATTTATATTAAACAACTTTCTTCAAATTAATGCCCTCCAGAAGTGTCGGGATTCCCAGAATGGGATGTCCAGCAATATCTGGAAGTACCTTCTATCAGCTTGAAGAAGGTTAATGTAGGATGTCTGAAATCTCAATTGATCCCAAAATTAAATTTTCAAATGCAACTATTTTTGAGAGGTCTAGACAAAACATTTTATTGCAATCAACAGCTCTGCACAGAAAATAGAAAGTTACCAGTGCATTTGGAAGCCTTCTCAACTATACATGGAAAACAGACAACCAGCATCTGTACAAGAGGACCACATCATATGCATTATCTGAGAGAATGCAGTGAAAGTAAGCCCTTATACATTTCTTTTAAATACTCAGTGCTGTTTGATGAGATTTCCGTTGCATATTCTGCCTTACCATTTTTATCAGCAGTATCACACATAGGCCTTAACACCAAGACCTTTTGTATATGATAACAGATTTAAATAAGATTTATGCATGTAGATTCAGGGCAGTTTGCCTACTTGAGAGCTTTCTGAAGTCTAAGTCAAATCAAGCCAGGGGATAAATTCAGACATGCAGAAGAAAAAGAAACTTGGGGGGGGGGGGGAGGAACCCCTTTATAAGCAAAATGTTTCTTGTGGTTTCATAGACGAGTCTAACAGACTAACATTTATTTTACTGAGCTATAGATCTTTAAATCTGAATGAATAGTTTAAGGCAACTTATTTTAAATCACACCCTGTTTCTAATTAGTTTAAAAGTCATTGTAGATTTCTTTTACCTGTTTAATTCAAGATGATTTAACAGGTCATTAGTAATCATATTAACTAATCGGTTTGTCCAGAATACACATATGATTCAAGCAATTATAGCTATGTCAGCAATTGATGTGTATATGCAGACATTCAATTGTTCAACGCTTGTTATAGGTTTTGTGGTAGCCATGCATTGGTCATGCCATTTAATCTAGGAAATAAATGTGACTGGTCAATTTATAGAGATAAACAGTATCTAAGCAAGTCTACAATTAAGTTTAGTGCTCATGCACTGCATTAATATTGGCAAGTCTTCAGTATCAAATATGCTATATAAAAGCCTATATATTTCAGGATCCTCACTAGCCTTGCTATTTGCTGTTCTAGTCCTGCCTTAGAACCACAAAACTTGCCAAAATTTGCAATTCATTTTATTGAATGTCCTTATTTTCCAATAGATGCTCCTGGACCTACCAAACAAAAAATAATCACCCTGTTAATTCAATGCAGCCATCTTGTCCATTACTCAATCTTGTTCAAAAACTATTATTTAGGATTACTTTTCTCTTCAAAAATGCCACAATTTGTAACATTAAAGGACAAATTATCCCTCTTAAAAGAATATTGAAAAGTGAACAATTCTCATTACCAAGTTTGTATACCAGCTGCAAAGTAGGTATTACGCACACAAATACACAGTCATCATAGCTAGAAACTTTTTCATATTCTCTTTTTGCAAATTGGTCCACTCTTGGATGTTATTCATTCTTTGGCATAACCTTACTATAAAGAAAATAAAAGAAGAAATAAAAGACTCCCACTATTATTTTTGTCCCAAAATGCTTTTCCTTGGAAATTTAGTAGTTAAAAAAATAACTTTTGCAGGCAAACTGGACGAGTACAGCTTTGCTGCACACCTCCTCCTCCAGAAAGTATCTCTTTACATATCAATATTTAGAATGATATGGATCAAAAAAGGAATCTTCATATGTAACTTCATTATACACATGTTTCCTTTTAAGTCTATGCCATGCACCCTGGTATAACTGGATATAAAAAAAGGAAAGGCACAACTTATGAAGTGTTTTGCAAGAGGTTTAGCTGTTGCCAGCAAGAGTAAGAAAATCAATATTCATATTTTGTTTACTTTGTTGTAGGAAAGGAATTTACCATAATTAATTTTAGAATGGAAAGTGTCTAATGATATAACACATAAAGATTCACTTCCTAGAGATGATTACTGGCCATTTGTTCATCAAAGTAAATCAGCAGACTATTATGTTTAAAACCAAAATATTGCATGAGCTCCACATTAAGTTTCCAAGGCATATTACGGTTCTTTATTTAGATTTATTCTCTAAATCAAATTTGTTCAATACAGAGAAAGAGTTACTAGACTGTTAATCACCTTTATATATAAGTGACTAGTCCTAAATATTCTGGGATAATTATGAAGTTAATCCAGTGACTTTGTGGCAAAGTGTTTAATTTTCAGCTTCTGGTTCTATATAATTAACCACAAATATTCTGATTTATACTCTATTATGATGGTTGAAAAAAAAAGGAACAAAACAAAAAGCTCAAAGCACCAAATTATTTTGGAAAATCAGGAAGCGAATTCTTGCTGGCCTAAATATCTCCTGATATATTTATTAAGAGTTACATTCTATTGAACCAATCGAAAATATTTTTAAATCCAAGTTCATAGAATCTTTTTGATTGCTTACCCATACTCCCAAAAAGATTTGTCCCTGAAGTATTCTGGATATTCTCTGGGGAAAAATATTTCTATTTACAACATGTGTAGGCTAATTTTTAGATATGTCAACAAAAGTTATGTAAAAGCATTTCTATTCTACCCTATGTCTACTTCAGTCATTTATCATCGTCAGAATTATGCAAAGATTTTCAAGGCTTATAGACATTATAAGAAATTCATTCTGATATCCACCAAAAATTGTAGGTCCTGTTAACATCTAGAGTAGTATCAACACAACAGTCAATGCAAGTGAAGGAAAATAATCTTTCAACCATCATGCAAATGTATTCTGTACAAATAGGTGTTATGAGGTTACTAGGCCGGGGTAGGAGAATATGTTAGCATGAATGCTCAGTTTCTGACAGAATCATCTCTTCTAATGTCAATTTTTTTAAAGAGTTGTAACTCTTCTGAAATACGTAGATAGCCTAATTATTTCAACAATTTTATGACTTCATATTAAACATGTTTTTTATTTCTGTTGTCATTAGATAGGGAATGCCTGCCAAGTCCTGAATTCAATTGAAATGAGTGAAAGCATAATTGTAAAATTTTTAATTTAGGTTTCAAGTACCAGCTTGTTTTCGTGTGAGTGTATGTATGTTTACACACATAACATACATCCAACTGTACCAAATTCTATAACAAGGGTTTTACTTGTGTCTCAAACATTGTAGTGGATAGCTCAGATGTCACCAACACATACACCAAGGCATATATTTCAAAACCAACCACTGAGCAAAATGTGCCATTTTACTCCAAAGAGTATTTTTGCTTCTCCCCTCTCTTAAACCAAAAGTTTAAGGGTTTTTTTTTCTGGACAGATCAGCAGAAGACATAGACATTAACAATTTACAAAGATAAAACATTTAGCAACCAGTCCATGGCTCTGAAAGTAGAGGTCAAGATCCAAATATAATTTTCTGGTTAGATGCTCATAAAGGAAAAGCAAACCGAGCAGACAAATGCACAAATAGTTTATCTGAAATAATTTGCCCATACGTCTAATCTGCTAGAGAAACCAATATGAAACCATGTGTTAATTCTATGCTCAGAATCCGGCTTTTTTTTTTTTCCCAAACATGGGAAATCATGAGAAGTGTAGTTAACCTTCTATTTGCTATATATCCATTATATTGTCTATTAATAAATAATACTTCATTATCAAAGGTTCTCCCACTGTAGCATCTGAAGGTGTGGCGATGTGCTCAGAAGGACTGCAGGACTGGAGCCAAAAGCAAGTCCTCTTTATTTTCTTGCAGTAGAAGCAGAAGTCATGCTGAGAATGTGGTTTGTTTACACAAGAAGTCCACAAGTGGGAAGATTTTATTTCATTGTTGCAGATACCAAGCTGCAATTTAATTGTTCAAAAAGGGTCCTGGTTTAAGGATTACAGTTTTTTAGTACAACCTCTTGAAAAAGAGAGGTATAAAACTCTGGTTCCAGCTGTTTGTTCCTGTATTTATTGACAATATCAGCTATTTTCTGTTTTCGACGGACATGAGGGGGATTGTATGAGTCACTTTCCAACCTTTTTCTTCGACAAATATTTATTACTGTCTGTCTCACTAAAAATCCTTAAATAAAAAAGGAACAAAGTTAATATTTCACTCAGGAAATATATATATTCTTCCATTTTTATTCTAACAATTTGAATGTCTAGCCAAAACATCAACAATAAATAACAGACATCATTTTGTTTGCTAGAAACAATGATACGTGTAGGAGGCTTAAGATGCAGTATGTAACTGTTTCTTTCCATTACAAAATTAACAATTTCAATGTCTAATTATTTCATTCTCAATACAGATTTATCTTAGTTTAAAGGGGCTGAAAATAAGGAACCTGTTGCCCTCTTAATATTGCTGACCATCAATATCCAGCAATCATGGCTACCATGACAAGAGGTAAAATCCAGCCCTGGATTCTGTTTCCATATCATCCAATTCTGCCACAGTAGGTTGTATTATTATGATTTAATATTTATTTATTAAACCCATATATTGATGGGATTATGCTCCCATACTTGGCTAATTTTTTTCCAAGATTAGGAATCTCCAATACTGCAAAAACCTAAGGAGTAATGAGGATTAAGAGGACCAGGATGGGAAGGATGAAAGATCTGAATCCTCACTGCTCCCAATTCTGTTTACATTTAGATTGCCTTGCACATCTGACTTGAGGTTGTACTTTGGACAGAAAGTTGAGTTTATTGGAATACTCCAGTAGATATCTTACTATCAGAAGATCTTATCACCTTTTTTAGGAACATTATTAGTATATATACCTGTAAGCAATAGATCTGAAAAGTATTAGTACAAGTCCAACTTGATTGTCTTTTATCACTTTACTCCACATCCCCTTGGTAAATATTTCCCAAATACTAGGAGAAAGGATATCCAACGTGATATGAAAGTATACCCCCAATATGTTGTTCTTCCAACTAATCCCCCATAAACAATGAAAACCTGGCTTTGTTGCTGGAATATTGCCTAAAAAAGAGGCTTGAACACAAGAAGGAAGAATTGATTTTTTTTCAAATCAGGTAGCCTAATGCTAATGTAACAGGAAGCTTTAGTAATAATGCTGCATTCAAAGCTAGTAAATTAATAGTCAAATATTAATAGAAGACGTACCTAGAGCTCTTCTGCTAACTATCATGCCATCCACTAGAGGGATAACCATATTGAATTTTCCAGTAGCTCCTTGTACTTTTACCCTGAATAATCCAGTGTTGAGGGGATGGATGAAAATCACTGGCACTTCTTTTTCAGGAATAGCAGACCTTAAAAATCACATAAGTAGCTAAAACCAATGAACATTTAAATGTATAAACAAAGCAATTGTGTGTTGATGCCAAATTTTGAAGGATTCAATTTTTAAATAATAAAAAAATAAAACATTTAACAAAGATGTCAGATGTCTTTTATTTCTCTAAGCTCAGCTGGAGACCAAATGTAGACAGTATTCTAAAACGATGCCAGCTATACAGCAAATGGATTGGCTGGCTTAATATACACAAATATCAACAGGAAAGTTGGAGTCAACAGAAGCAAGCTGCAAATCTAAGAACCAGAACTCATGTGTGGCCAAGGCACAAAATTATTAGGAAGAGGTGTTAACTACAACAACTTTAAATGTCATTAGGGAATAGTATTTTGCTCACACCATGAAAAATATAGTTGGAAATGAAGTAAACATGCTTCCTTCCATACAGGCTTGACTTATGCCTGTTTATCACAATTTATTTATTTATTTATTTATGAGGCTTATATACCGCTTTAAGTGCAAGCACTCTCTGAGCGGTGTACACCAGTAAGCAGTGTGTGTGTGTGTGTGTGTGTGTGTGTGTGTGTGTGTATATATATATATATATATATTTACATTGCCCCCAACAATCTGGGTCCTCATTTTACCTACCCCAGAAGGATGGAAGGCTGAGTCAACTTTGAGCCGGTAAGATTTGAACCGCTGACCTGCTGAACACAGTCAGCTAAAGTGGCCTGCAGTACTGCACTCTAACTGCTGCGCCACCTCGGCTCATTGGTTGGGACTTATTGGTTGGGACTTAGATGTGGTAATGCCTAGCTCACAAGTTGCATATGAACAGATGTGAACTATGTCCACATAGAAACAGTGTCACCAAAAAGGTAGAGAAATTAAGTCATACCTCAGCGAAGTGCTGCTATTTGTTGTAGTTTCTACTCCAGTGCTAGTCTCTGAAACAAAGTCAGAGAGAGGGAAATTCTCTGCAAGACAAGGATAATCGAAGGTTAAATAACAACAATAAATACATTTTAAAATTCATAAAAAGTTTCAAGAGAACACAAAAATAATAACTGGAAACTACATCAAATTTGTAATTGCAAATAATGGTAGCTAGTTAATTCTAATTTCAGAAAAAATTAAGAGGACTGGACCTGATGAGAATTTGGATGGGAAATTACCAGAAAAGCGGAAGGAAGGAAGGAAGGAAGGAAGGAAGGAAAGAAGGAAGGAAGGAAGGAAGGAAGGAAGGAAGGAAGGAAGGAAGGAAGGAAGGAAGGAAGTTCTCCTTCCATATTTGTAATAAAATTCTGAGATTCACATACCTATGTCATCATAGCGTTCAACCCAAACCACATACACCTTGGTTTCAGGTCCCATTGGGGGAATAGCCCGACCTTGTGGAAATTTCTTTGATCTGGAAGTTGGACTGAGCTATTGCATGTATAAAAACAAAAACAAATGTTTGCCTATTAATTAAAATTAGCAGCATGTATTCAGCTCTAAGACTCTGAGGGAAATTAACACATTTCAGCAACATATAACTTATTATGAATCAATTTACTAGCAATAAACATCTCTGTGAAACTAAGTTCTTCCCAAGACTAATTTATGTTATATCCAATTGGCTACAAAATATTGCACAAGATATTTTCTTATGATAAATAAAGTGTTTGGAAGAAGATAAAACCTTGGTGCCATTATTATGATAAAATTACAGTGGAAACTTGTATCTATTAAATTCTGTGGGAGACTGTGGGGGTCTGGATGGAGAACCACAAACTTCAGTTGACCCCTGGCAAGACTGAGTGGCTTTAGTTTGGAGGCTTTCTGGTTCTAGGACATTATTATCTTTTGGGTTGCAAACAGATCCTGTGCACAATCTGGGGAACTTCCTGGACTCGTGACTCTTTCCTAAGGAGCAGATGACAGTTGGAGGGCCTTTGCATAACTGCACATCATGTACCAGTAGTGCCAGTTCCTGGATCAAGGGAACTTACTCACAGTCAATCATGCCCTGGGTCATCTCCCAGTGGGGGGGAGAGGGGATGGTTTTACACAAGCAGGGGGCACAAATGGAACGTGCACACACTCACACGCTGCTTTCACAAGTGCACGTGCATGCGCTCATACACCACTTCCATGACCAGGTTCCAAACATGGCTGGGTAGTAGGCCATGGTTTGGGAACCCGTCTCACCAGATCCAACAGAATGGGTGTAATATTGGTTCTATCATCAAGGGAGCTACACTTGGCAGGCCCTAAGTGGTGGGCCCTTTTTGCTGTGGCACTTCATTGTGGTATCTTCTCCCCAACAGAAATGAACAGTCTCATTACTCCTGACCTTCTGAAGGTCCCTCAAGTCCTGGATATGCCAGCAAGCTTGGGTGCCCCAGGTGATAGATGAATTTGTGAGTTGGCTCTAATATTATTTAACATCCCTCCATCTATTATTTTCTTTTCTTATTTTATAGTTTTTAAGATTCTTTTAATAATTATTATACAATAGTTTGAAGTAATGGTTGTTTCATTTATTACTGTTTTATTGGATTTTTGTATGCCACCCAAAGACACTTCTCCAGGCTAGAAACCAGGAGATGGTTAATTCTACTACTGCCTTAGATATAAAAACCTTGGGCCAGGCACTCTTTCTCACCCAGAACATCAGGCTTTGGCAAAAAGCTGGTCAGTCAATTCCTAAAACAACCAACTGATCATCATTTGATTGATATGGGGAGAAAAACAGACCTTGCACCTGCAAGAAAAAATGCTAGGAAAAAGAAATATATAAAAGCTATAACATATTTAAAGTTCACAGAATAAACTTGCCCTTTGTGAAGTACTGAGATTGTCTGTATGATTGGGAAAGAGCTCAAGTGTCAGTGCTTGCTGCTTTAGTATCCCAGGAAGGAGATCCATGTTAGAATCACTTTCTTGGTCTGAGGCATTGCTTTCCAATGAATCTGCTGAAATCCAAAAGAAAGAAGTTTCTTAAAACAAGAAGGTCATTAACTCCAAATCCATTCTGAATGTTAACAGTGGTTTTCCAGGTAGCTCATTCATTCAAGTGCAGAAAGAATCCACAATTTTGGAGCTCTACAATTTCCCTAGTCTCCAACCAATAGCGATTTCTGATTCAGTTATAATTGTGCAAATAAAATGTGAATAGAAGAGAATGAGAAACTTTTAATGATCCAGTTCAGTTGTCTCAATTTTGACTGGAAACAACTTGACAGAATTTTAGGTAGAAGACGTTCCTGTAACTATCTGGAAACATTTCTGCATATATGCTAACTCTATGTGTTCCCTAAAAGAGACTTTGTATATTACTGACATGCCACAGAACTTTAAAATAAAGTAGCCTAAACATTTCTATTCCATATTTGAATATTTTATGAATTCCCTTAAAATATATTTAATATTTCACACGAGAAGTGGGTACATATTAAAATCATATGAGATAATGACAAAAGGTGGCAAAAGAAATGGATGTTGAACACAGGAAAATGTATCAGTATGCTAAAAGCACTATGGCTTTCTGCAGCAGGGAGGAAAATAAATTAATTCTGTTCCAGTTTAAGAGTGACAAAGTAAAATGAATTTATCACATATTTTTCATATGTGTCAAGTTCTTCTGCAGTGCAGTAGGCAGTTCTAATCAAATGCTGAAATATTTCTCAATCACTTATAAGAACACAGACATAAGTAGTATACTTACTTAAGGACTCCACAGGCGAAGGAACAACAAAAGCTATTTCTGTAAGAGCATCTGCGTAATACAACACTTTTCTTTGCCCATTGAAAATATTTGCTCCCATGTCTTCTGAACAGATTACTTCATCTGAGAAGAGGAAAAAAATTAAAATCAAGACCTGTTCTGTGCTTTATTAAAAGAACTATGTCCTCTTAATATTTTGAAGATTAACTTGTTTTTTGAGTAACTAAAAATAATTTATATGCTGTATATGCTGCACGTAAAGTTCTATGGACGATGTACCTATCTCAACATAAGCACGAGAAGAGCAATTGTCTCAGGACACTCCAACTGCTTAAATCCATGTGCGAGGAAATGGAGTAATTCTGAGCTTCCCAGGTCACTGCAAAATGATTACTTTTGCCCTCCACAAAGAATTCTCTGCTAAGATTATTCAGTCCACCTAGACCTTGCTAAAATGGAGATGATGGGGGAAGGAAAATTGATCTATTTCAGTAAGTCACTCTGTCCTGGTCCTAAGAAAACACCTCACCTTGCTCTGATCCCTCCTCATCGCAGAAGCTATTAATGGACCAGCTAGTTGAAACATGTCCTGTCCATCCAGGGTGCTTGCCCACATCAACAGACCATCCAAGAGATAGCAAGAACTCTAGGAAGTGTGGTTGAACATTTCTGGAAGACTCTACGTTCTTCAAAATCTGGGGAAGAAAAGACCAGTATAGCAGAAAAAACCCCAAAAGATATAGAGGCAATTTCTTACTAACACTATTGTGGAAATCAGCACTTTCTTTTGCATTTTTAAGATATCCAGGATAACTGCCTTGAAGAATCAAGCAATGTGGCTGGTACAATAAATAAGACAATTAAGACTAGCTGTATATGTGTACTTTGTATCATCCAGAGATATAGACTGGAATGATTTATGCCATCTATTGAAACTACAAAATGTCTAGAGCAGATATAATTATGCCCATGGAAGCCCCTTCATATGCCCAGTCTCAGCACTCATATCAGTTAATTAAACCATATTTCTCATATCCTGGTTTGATATGATTTCCAAAGGTTTGATGTTTCTCAGGACCCTGAAAGAAATATTGGTTTAATGAAACCACTGAAGCTAGAAATATTATGGGAATGCAGAGACCCAAGGCTTGTTTTGGCCTAATAAATCACAACTTGTTCAACTATTATAATATTGATAATATTATACAGAATTTAGCTTCCTGAAAACAGTTTTGCTTTTTAAAGGAGTTTCTGTATCTTACAGTAGTTAAGAATTGTCAAAGAAGTTCTAAAACACCATTTCCAATGTCCCACATAACCTCTTTCCCTGAATAAGTAAAATTAGGGTAGGTTAAGAAAGAAAGTTTAAAAATTGTGGAAATAAAATAAGGGTTATGTATAATTTTTACAGTCTGTAAAATAAACTTAAATTATTGTGGAATAAAATCTTGAATGATTTCATTTCCAACTGAATTCCAATTATTGTTGAACTCTTCAGCACATTCTTATACTTTGTAGCTGGTGACAAGCTATAAGAAATCAGCCTATTACTTACTTCTTGGCTTGTTTTTTGGCCTGCTTTCATGTAGAAAATGAAAACAGTATCAAAAGGACGACAGGGCAGCAAGTCCAGGTAACCAACATCATCAAAAAACCCGGGCAGAGAAGAATCAAGTGCAATCAAGTGAGGAGGTAGTCTGCTATTAGCAGGTTCCTAAGCAAAAAAGTACAGATGTTAATGCTAAATAACCCCTCCAAATACTTATGAAGTAAGATAAACTATTTTAGCTTGTTAATGAATAACTGCTTTGATAGTATATGAAAACAAAATCCAAAATTGTACAATGTCCATCAACCAAAACGGCACAAAAAGTTTACTGTGTGGTGGCACAGTGGTTAGAATGCAGTACTGCAGGCTATTTCTGCTGACTGCCGGCTGCAAGCAGTTCAGCAGTTCGATTCTCACCGGCTCAAGATTGATCCAGCCTTCCATCCTTCGGTAAAATGAGGTTGGTAAAATGAGGACCAAGATCGTTGGGGGGCAATGTGTTGACTCTGTAAATCACTTAGAGAGGGCTGTAAAGCCCTATAAAGTGGTATATAAGTCTAAATGCTATTGCTATTACTATTAAGTTCTTCAGAATTTTTTATTAGCAATATTTTACAAAACAAGCAGGGAAATGGGAGGAAAAAAAATGCAGATCAACCTACATCAATCAAGAGACTCTTTGCTTCTGTTCTGGAATTCCCAGAGACACCTACTGTAAAATTCTGCTAATCACTAATTTCACCAGTATGTTGTTTTTTTTTTTTTTTTTTGGAAAAATAAATCCTAAAAAAGTGTTTTAAACTTAGAACAGGCTTAACATATTATTTTGCTTAATCTATCAACTCCCTCCAAAGAACAAAACTTCACAGTTCTTCCCATCTGCTCATCACATTACTGTCAGGATCTTTCCAACTTGTAAAGTTCAACATTTTTTAATGTCTGGCTGCTCAATTCAATTGGAGTAATAAAAATCAATTGCATTAACATAATAGGTAGCAATATCTCCCACACAGACAATATAGAGCAAGACCTTAATATACATTATGAAATATGACATACGTTTCTACTCAATAGTACAGTTTTCAAGGTAGGAGTCTTACACTTATAGATTTTTTTTTTCAATAATACACATGAAACAGTTAAAAAAAATTACTATTCTATTCCACTTTATAAAGTTCTACCTATTTTATTTTATGCCTTATTTTAAAGCACAAATCATTAAAATCAATGGCTTTATTCTAATGATTGTGCTTGAAGCAAACTAGATAATAATCAAGTTTTCAGTCACCTTCAATGCTTCTAGAGATAGAAATCCAAAGTGAGAAAGGAAGAGGCGGGCTGTTTGAAACTCCTGTGCAGGAGGTGATGGTTTACACTCTGTGACTGGATCAGGGAAGTTTTTCTTCCTCCATTCTTCTTCCATTTTCTGATCTATAGATTTCTCATAAAGCACTTGCTGATCCATTCCACTTCTCAGCTTCTCATGACGTTCTTCCAGCTGAAACATATTTAGCAACTTCATCAGACCTCCAAAATTGCCAAAAGTAGGATCAAGGTGTAGTGCAGAGTTTCTCATGATTTAAAGAGCAGGTGGCTAAAAAAGCTGCTGCAATTTGCTATAGCTTTCTATTCTATCTAATAAAATTCTGATTACTGATGCTCATCAGTTGCCGCATTACAAAAATTCACCTGCTACTCAGCCCCTGCATGCCGTTAAAGAATAATTACAACCAATGTTAACAGAAACAACATCTGTCCTGACTTCATATTTTCACAGGATACGGAAAGAATAAGGACAACAGGATATTCCATTCCAATGGCTTCCTGAAAAATGATGACTGACTTACTTTATATGTCTAGTAAGCAGAGAAAGTTCTAATAGATGCAAAGATGTACAAATACATTATTTTGTCCCAGAAAGACTGATATGAATACACGCAAGAGAGTAAAAAGTAACTGCGAAGAATTTAAAAAGTTTTTTTGTGCAACATGAAATAAATCAGAAATTATAAATTTCATACTTCCTCAGTAACTATCTCATGCAAGTCTGGAATGCTCAGGTCTGCTTTCACGAAAGGAATTTTGTCCACTTCCTCAGGAAATGGGCGATGTTTCACACTATATTTTAATCCAACATCATTTTTAGGTGCAGGTCGGGGTTCTGGAACAAATAGCTGTTGAAAAGAGAACAATCAATCTTAACATTTACTTTAAAAGGTTTAATATTTTGTTATTGTAAAAGCACTGAAACAGATTGAAATAAATTTGGGACTGGCAGCACTCATAATTCATTAGAAAAGTAACATTTAAATAATTATTTATTATGCCTTCCCAACTATTTTTTACTTGAAATGAGAGAGATCGCTTTAATTTAGTAGTCTACTGAATTTAGCTGTAATCTAAACAAGGTGAAACGTTACAGTCTGATAGTCAGTTTTGCTTTTAACTTTTTTGTGTATGTTATCAATGGTCATGCTGGAAGTTAACTGCATTTATATAATTGTGTTAACATGTTTTCTTAGATTACATTGGGTACACAGGTAGATGTTATAATCTAAGCAGTTATATGACAGAATAAAACCTCAGATAACAAAGTTGTGGTTAGTGAAAACCTGAATCTTCAGAGAATTAGGTTCAGAAGAGAACTGAAGAAAACTGAAAAATCATTCTCTGGTGTGTGTTTGCAATTTTCACTATGGAGGAAACAACATGCTAAAAAACTGTGACCACGTTACGTTAAACTTAGACTCTTAGAATCAGGAGAACTTGGAAATTCATATTGATGTGGATGTAGTAAAATGATTGTTGAGTAAAAACTGTGTGCCAAAAATCAGAGTTTTGCAAAACTGTTTACTACAAATATGAGCAAGACTGGAGACAGTAAGATTTATCTGTATCTTTGGATATGGACATACGTTCATATGGATGTAAATATTATTTCTAAATAATATAATGATAATTTAAACAATAATCTGTCAGCTATTATTTCTGGTACATAATTTTGATTTGTGATAATTGAGAATATCTATAGTTCGGGTGTAGGATGAGGGTGGAGGTTCGCTCTCCACCCTCATAATTTTGATTTATTAGAATATGATTAGTTCAGAGAAAAAACAAAGTACCAGAACAAATACTGAATCTTCTGGAATGATGAACACGGATACCATAGTTATTTTAGTATTAGTAAATAAATAACTTTGTGATATCTTTAAATGGAATTTTTAATATTAATTGATATATCACTAAAGAAAACAGTATTTGTGCTAAAAAGATTCTAAGACGTATTTATAACTACCGCTAGATTAGTAAAGGACAGACCATAACTATTGCCCTATTATAAAATGTTGCAATTGTTAAATGGAAGATATGAACCACACATACTATATATATGGATGAACATGATTCATTATCTCTTCATTTCCCAAATTTGGATGGTAATAGAAATAGTCTCTAAGTCAATAATCAGTTATTTTAATTTTTAAAAATGTAATCCTTGATAGATCTCTACAATAAATAGGAGAGGAAATAATCCATGGTTAGTTTGGAAGTGAAACTGAAAGGGGCATTAAAATCAGTAATTCATTGCACTAAGGGGTAGTGTAACATTAGCACGGTTTACTGAACATTTTTCAGTGCTCCTTGGTTTTTATAAGAAAGCAAATTAGTTCTACCCAGAACTCTGACAAAAACCTTTTGATTTGATTTGGCTCCTTTTGGCAAAAGACAAAGTTGTTGTGCCCACGCATGTCTTCCAGACATCCCACGGATTAGAATGGTGAGTGAAGGAAAAAAGTCATCTGGGGAAGAGAAAGACTAGCATGAATAACCTCTTAAAATAATAATGCTGAAAAAGATTACATTGGGCATATGTAAACAAATTAAGGAACGAAAAATTTCAGTAACACAATTGGCAGAGCTAGAAATTCAATAGACAGATTTGAAGATAGAAGCATAAGCTTGCTCCACGTGCAGGAGCTACATACAATTACTGGAAATAAACTAATTGCCTCCCCCATTATGTCTGTAAATAAACTTGGACAATCTTAATTTACCAGAGGAATGAAAGCAAGAGGAAAGAATAAAATCAAATGGGTTATAGCATACCCATTACTGAGTGACTCAAAACAAAAAATATTCCTCTGAAGTGCTATATTTTTATAGATAATCTGCAAGACTTATTAAAATAGAAACAGACTTAATTTGTATTTAACTGGCTTCTGTTTGAATTCCTATACTACAACTCAGTTTTATCATGTGTTCTGGAGGCTCCAAGATCACAAAAAATGAGCCTTAAGAATCCAGTTGAAATGTCCTAATAATGTAACAGCCTGCTGGATTAGACCAAGGATTCTGGATTCTGTACCTGAATGGTACTTGAATGTCTATAGAAAACCTATAAATCAAACATAAATGGCACAATGTTTTCTACACATTCCCCAGTAATTAGTATTAAAAGATTACTTTAATAATAAATGTTCTATGATGATTACAGCTTTATTTTCATTTTTATAACGTAATTCAGTTTGCAAACTTCTTCATAATATGTCCCTTTGAAATACCTTTTTATAAGGGTATGGTACCTAAAAGCCAATCTAAAAAGAAAATTTCAATTTTTTTACAACTTATTCTAATAAAATCTTGCTCCAAAAATAAGCTAGTAAATGAAGAATACAACAAATAAAACAGGCAAAGTCCTAGTCATCAGTTTTGAAACAAACCAGGATGAATCATCTTGAAACTGAATTATCATCTCCTTAAGTTGAGCTGCATATCACATATACTTCCCAAATTTAATATGGCACAATTTTACAATATTCTACAGTTCAGCACAATACTCTATAATGCAGGAGACCAGTTTAATTAACTGCAAACACATATACACATACATACACGAAAAGATACACAATATATTTACTCACTTTGTTCATTCCCCAAGGGCTGCTCTAACATTGCAAGGATGACACTGTTATCCAGGACAAAATAGCGGAAGCTGTATTTGTTTATAGAAGGCAGCCGAGCATATTTAATTAAGGTGATCTCATTTACTAAGCTACAAGGAGAAGCAGGACCACTGGGTGAAGGAAAAGCTCCAAGAACTTGCATGATGCTGTAAACCAAAAAAATGATTTAGTCAAGACATATTTAGTAGAAATGCTGGAAGAATGCTGTAGAATGCTGGAAGCAGCATAAATTGTATCTATGACATTTTTTCTAGTGTCTTGCTGTCAAAAAGCATCAAACAGCCTACAATTTTAAGTAACATAATCAAGCATATTTTAGAGGAAAATGCTGACACTGAAAATGTATTTTTTAATTAAATACTGTATGTATTTCTAAGATTCTTCATTTTTAAGCAAAACACTGTTTTGAGCAAATTCTCTGTGGAAACATTAATCAAGCTAAGAAAAATATACTGTGATTAACAGGATTACTTTCAATAATCTTTCATACCATGTGAGGGTAGCTTCAGCTGCATCCTTCACTCTCATGGAAGCAGGATTTGGCTCCTTATCTCCTTTGTACTTAACTTCTTGTTCACTACTTCTGGATTTACTTCCTGAGATTCCCAGTTCCACAATCTCCAATACTTCTTTTAAACAATCCTAAAAAAGGAATGCTGTACCATTCAGCTATTTAACAAAAAAACACTTTAATAAAGAATTAAAATAACTAAGTTAATTAAGACCTTAAACTACTCTATAAATATTTAGAAAAATATGAGGATGAATGTAGAATAAAAATGAATAAATGGAACAAAACAACAATAAGATAATGAGATTTTCAATAGAACAAGGAACCAAAAGAAGAATTCTCCATCTTTGGATTGGTCCAAAACAATTCAAAGGATTAAGCAGAAGCTATATTTACACTTGTGGTATGTACTGTGCAGGGCTCCTGTCACATTCCTGTAAACTCTGAAAGAGTCTCAGAGGGATTCTGAATAAGTAGATAACCCATATGTGTGAATCACAGAAATTTTAATGAAAACCTTTTACAGTGTTTCAACTTGCTACAGATTACGTTTTTACTAATTAGCTTCTTACATACTTTGCACTATTAGTTTATTAGGGCAGTCACTGTATAGTTAAAAGATCACTTTCCTGGCATTGGTTTCATTTGGATAGTTTCAAGAAAGTTTGTAATTTAACAGATCTTTTAGGAGCTAGGAGTCCAAAACAACCTACTACTATGAAATCTATAATGATAAAAACTCTAAGATGCTTTTTGCTTGCTGTTTTTAAAACTCAGCAGTACTGGATTTAAAATGATATATAGTCATTTTGATAACTAGATTTTGGAGGGGGAGGATATATGATGCATATATGTGCATCATATCTTTTGTGATTATATTAAAAACATTCAAGAAAGAACATGCAAGCTCCTTTTACTTTACCCTATCTCCTGTAGTTTAACTGAGGCAAATGTCATCATTTGTTGTGGACTGTATATTTTGAAAACAAACTACAGGATAATTCCTGGGGCAATTGTTAAAGGGTGGAATGTGATTTTCCATTGAAAACTTTACACTCCTATTTGTACTGCTTTTACAAACAAAACATGCAGACACAGTTTAGATATATAAGTAGTCCTCAACTTATGACCATAATTATGCTCAAAATTTCTGTTGCTAAGCAAGACATTTGTTAAGTGAATTTTGCCCATTTTAGGACATTTCTTGCTACAATTATTAAGTGAATCACCACAGCTGTTAAGTTAGTAACATGGGTGTTAAGTGAATCTAGCTTCCCCATTGACTTTGCTTGTGAGAAGGTCACAAAAGGTGGTCACATGACCCCGGGATACTGCAACAGTCATAAACATGAACCAGTTGCCAAGCATCTGAAATTTGATCATGTGACCCACAGGGCTGCTGCAATAGTTATACTGTATATGTGAAAAATGGTCATAAATCACTTTTTTCAATGCTGTTGCAACTTCAAATGTTCAATAAAGGAATGGTTGTAAGTTGAGGACTACTTGTAGTTGTTATCACAAATAATTATGCTTATATAGAGTGGCATTTTCACTCACCTTTTCATCAAGGATGTCTGGATGTTCGGTGAGCCAGACACAGAGACACTGAAATGCTGCGACTATCATGGAATGGAGATCTCTAGAATGGAAAGGAGCTGGACGACTACACTGATACACAATGTAACAGCACACAGAGCTAATTGCTCTCTTCCTATCAGAAGAGTCAACGCCAACCTTCACCTGATATGAGAAATACAAAAAGTTGCTTAGCTTTAGGAAATCACATTAAGTTAAAACCCCATAAAAAGACAAGTGAACTTAATATACCCAACTATAGAATGTAATGCAAAAGCCCCATGGATAGTGGAGTTTTATACTTACCTTTTTGACTTACTTTGTTTTTAATTAGTTTTATTTCATGTAATTGCTATTCAGTTCAGCTTTTTTGTAGCATTTTTTTCCAAGTGGAAAAAAATATTAGATCCTAGTATAGAACAAGTTACATTGCCGGCTCTGCCATTGCCAGGAAAGAGATTTTGGTAAAGAAGTAAAGGAAGATGAGTACAAATCCTCCAGCCTAACAGAAACAATTCTCAGAAGACTCCCTAAAGCTCACCTTTGCCAAACCAGAGAGAAGCTCTAATGCAGCTAGCGAGATGCTCATTTCCTGTCTCCACTGTGTGTTGAGCCTCTGTGTTACCAAATGAATGCTGCGGATCAGGAGTCCAGCTGCAGTATCTGTATGAAGAGCTAGGATATAAACCCCAATACCACACACCACAGGGAGGGAAAACAACTAAGCATTAGTGACAATCAGCAAAGCAGTCCATCAGACAGAAGCTAAAGCAGCCACAATACACTCAGGAAACAAAGTACACACTCCTCTGGGGAAGTAAAACATTCAACAGGAAGTAACTTAGTCTCTTAATGTTAATTAAGGTAGCTAGGTACTGATCTAAAACATTGGTTGATGCTGCTAATGAAATCTTGGTAAATTTGGCTAACTTAAATTTTCTCTGTGTTTCCAACCTTTTCCATTATATTTTTGTGATAAATTTTGAAATGCCTCTTTTTAGCAGGAAATAAAACTTGAACAAAATATACAAATTGCTGTTAACAAAAAAGGATATGTTACGTGTGTATATGTGTAATGTTTGGTGTGCTTTGTTTTGTTTTGTTGGTCTAAAAAAAAGAGAGAGAGAAAAAAAACTTGAACAAAATAAATATAACATTATTACAGTAGTGGCCAAAATTGTGGAAACCTTTTGGGAAAAGTGTACAGGAGAAATGCCACCTTTGGTTAAGTTTCCACCAATTTTTCCTAATTTCTTTATAACTGTAGCCTTGTTCACTTAATAATATTATTTTACATCGCTTTCTGGGCAACCAGTCAGCTCTTTGCACCATTACTTTAATTTTATTATGTTTTACAAGCTCACTAAATGAAAGGAAAAAAAAACTCCAACCAACTTGATAGCGATCACATATCACACTGACAAATGTCCTCCTCTCAGCTTCAATACATGACATCAATAACTGAATCCTACTGTGTTCTGATTGGCTTGTTGCCAAAACAAGATGACACTTGATTGGCTCTCTAAACACTCATGCTCATTGGCTACAATCAGAAGAAGGAAATTTATCTAATAACAACCTAAGCAAGTTGTGCTTCCTTTTTCTGGTTATTTGGCTATAACTTTTCATAGACTACAGTACAGATAATTGAACAAATTATGTTGCATTACATTCTTGATTAAATTATCTTTCCATTGATATATAATTTTATGGTATTATTAGCCATCAAACCTCAAAAATACACTTTTCCCAAAAGGTTTTCACAATTTTTGGCCACTACTGTATGTAGCTAACAATATCCTATTTTTAGTATTCTATACCTAAATATTATCCTTTTCCAGAAATGGAAAATTTTCTGCATTTGAGAAATGAATAGTTCAGGATGACAAGTTAAAAAACTCACCTTTCCCCAACCAACCTTCTCTGTTGCAAAATCTGGTTTTTAGTTGGCAACATTATTGTTCTGATAAAAACAGAAAACTTTTCCATGCCTGAGGCTTACTACTTTCACAATTCAATATTTTCGAAGTCTATTACCTTACTGCAGTGTTTCCCAAACTTGACAATTTTAAGGCATGAGTTGAAGTCCACATGCCTTACAATTGTCAAGTTTGGGAAACACTGCCTTACTGAAAGCATAAACTATTTCTAAAGCACAAAGTAAAATATAATCTGGAAGTAGATGTCTTTTCAAAAAATATAACTGATTTATCCAGGTTTACCATGAATGAGAATTTTGGAATGCTGAATAATAATTTTTATTCCAATTGGAAGAAAGTCTTAAGACTGGAAAATCACAGTGTGGCCTATCCTAGTTATTAATTTATGTATATTAAAGTAGAGGTTCCCAACCTTTTGGACACTAGGGACCAGTTACACAGAGAGAGATTTTTCCATGGACCAAAGGGGGTGCGGTTTTGTGTGCTGCCTGCATCCTGCAGATGGGCCTTTGCTTGTTTATGCGGCCTGGTTGCTGGCATGCCACGGCCTGATACCAGTTCACAGACTGGGGGTTGGGGATCCCTGTATAAAGGGATAAGGCTAAGTAATCGATTACACAACACCTCCTGGATCTAGAATTGAAGTTTAGTCCTCTGCTCCACTTTGATGGGAGAATCACTGCATCTTATCTTTCTACACTGGTCTATCCTACGTATAATTGGGCTTTTCAATGCCCTTCCCTCTGCGTTCCTGGAAGGGGAATACTACAATATTTCTTTATGTTGCCCAGTTGGCCTTTGTGGTATGGAGAAACTATCACATGTACACTATTACAGTGCCATTTGGGAGGGGGGTTTACATTAAAAAATGATGATTTCTTTTCTAACAATGGCTCCAGGGGAGGCAGATGATTACTTAGCTTTTGTACCAGCTGCCAAAAATGTCCAGGTCATTTATAATGCCGCTAAATTTTGCCACTTAGCTTCAAGAAGCTTCCTAGAGCTCAACTTCCACTCACATAAATCTGGCTTGTTCTTTGTATTTTTTTCTATACATTTCTTTGTTAAGGTTAGTCATAACAGAGTTCTGCTGATTAAGCTGGGAAGTAAAATTCTGCAACCTCCTATCCAATCAATAACATCCATTATGTAGTCTTGTTTAAGTACATTACATAAGCCCCCACTCACAAATCACTAATTAAACAAGACTGGTTAATGTTATAATAAGCTGAAAAGTTAATTTCACTTAACTTAGCTACCCTGAGGCTATGAAATGCGCTCCTTACTATGCAAGTATATCATGACTACTAATTTCAGGAAGGGAAAGCAAGAGACAGGAGGCAGAGTCCACAGGGAAGACTTCTCAATGATTGTTCTGTACATGTTGTATTATTAAGGCTTTATGCTACTTTTTATTATTATTCTCAAAATAGTTTTTAGTCACTGGTGTGAGCCATCTTAAACAAGATAAAAGTTGCTCCAAGCATGACAACAGCACTACATATGTATGAAGAAAATTAAGAATTTTAAGTTTCACAATCTTTTAGGTATTACAAGTCTTGCTATCATATGATTTTTGTAAAAAAAAAAATCTTTCACTTTGATCTCTGGGCAGTAATCTGTATCACATTTCTCTACAGAATGAAATGTTCTAATAAAAAAAACTACTACTGGCATAGTTAACATTACGTGACTCCTCTGATATCTTGGGAGGGATCTGGTTTCACTTTTCCTAACAGTTCCATTGTATTAGCTTCATCATAGAGCACAAAGCATATTTAAAAGCAACTGAGACCAAAATATAATTTAAAACTTATGCTCATAAAATATTTATATTTTGAGATAATTCCAGATCAAAAATATTTGTTTTGGTCATTGGAAAAATCATTTTATTTTAAACTACTGAGTTGTTGAAAGAAGGGTTGCCTAAAATTGCTAAATGCAGCACATTTAATTAAAACATATTTAACACCAATAGCATCATTGCTAGGTGAACCAGGTGGTTGTCAAGTGAATTCAGCATATCCAATAGGTGTTTTTGCCATTTTCTGCCTAAAAACAACATAAAATGTTGTAAATCAGTCACATGACCACAGGACGCTGCAACTAGTCGTAAATGTGAGCCTGTTACCAAGGGCCTAAAATATAACTATGGGATGGAGGGCGGGGCAGGATAACTTCAAGGGTAGGTCATAAGTAGCTTTTTAAGTATCTTTTGTAACTTCAGAGTTGTTAAGCTCTGAGAACTATCTGTAATGGAAAGAATATTATTTCATATACTTTTTATAATGATTTTTTATATAATTTTTTATTATCCTTTTTCTTTTTAGTTATTTTCCTCCTCCTCATTCATACATTAAAGTAATGGAAAAATCACTTTAAAAAGTATACACGACTTCAAAGTTTAATCTGATAACATCCTGCATTTCTCCATAAAAACATGGAACACTAGTCTACCTCTGTGAAATAATTAACTGTCTTTCATAAGTCATGTAGTAAGAGTAACTTATCTGATGCTTTACTTAAAAGTGATGGTTTTATGCTGTCATTAATGGTAGAAAGGGATTCAGATGGCTAATTAGATATACAAATAGTTGCCTGCCTGGTGAATTTATTTGGAAATTCATTACAAGTGCCTTCTGGGTCCTTAGGAAGGATGACTGGGATTTCTAATTTTATCAAAGAAGCTGATCTTCAACTGGTATTGGTTTATCAGATTCAGAAATCTGTAACCTCAGATAACAATTGCTTCTTAATGCCTATGAAAACAAGCTTTTCTAGTCAAAAGAGTCATTCCGGCTTTCAGTTGCCACAGAAAAGTATGACAGAATGTTCTAAATGAGACAAATATGTACTATTCTGACGGGTCCTGAAGTGAATTCTACAAGGAAAAGAGTTAGGTAGAACGATGATTTTTAAATGTAATGGACACATACATAATAACACACATATTTGCGCACATATAATATTTTATATACATCTGATTAATATTGATTAATGAATCTTGGGTTTCTCTGACTTGTTTAAGAACACAGTATACATTTAGTGTGATAAATACAAACAGAGGGAGTCAAAAAGCTGAAATCAAAGCAACATCTAGTGAAGTTATTTACATTTTCTCCCCCAATTTCAACGACATCAGATCATTCTGACACAATATATAAGGCCACAAAAATTTCTCCATTCTGAAAATCAGACTCAATATTATATATACATTTAGTAGCATTTGGAAGGCTGTAATTAATAATTAGAATAAAAAAAGTAGCAATAGTGAAAAGATGGGGAGGGGAGAAGCTACAACAAGGGAACAGATAGAAAAACTATTATAAAACAAAAAAGCTCCCAAATCACCTCACAGGTGGTTTATTATATAGTTTATAACACAGATTTATATACTGCACAAAGACACCAATTGTTACCCAATATCTTTTCCCCTCTGTCTCTTTATCATAACAACATTTATTAGCTTCATGTATATCTATATCTACCCTCTTCCAAGACTCAAGTTATTTACAGAGTCATAAACTAAAAACATATATTAAAAAGTTATCTGTATAATCACAAAACAAAATAAAGTAAAACAGATCTGCTGAAAAGCAATCATTACCTCTTTCATCACCCAAACGCTTGCTGGAATACACACACACACACACACACACACACACACACACACACACACACAGAGTGCTTTTTTTCTAAAAAAAAAAAAAAAAAGGTGCCAGAACTCACACACGTCACACAACCCACCTTGCCTATCCTACAAGGTTCCATCCAAAAAACGTGCCGGAACTCTGTTCTGGGCATTCTATGAGAAAAAAAGCCCTACACACACACACACACACACACACACACACACACACACACACACATCTTTTTTTCCAATTAAAAAGTGTAAATTATTCAAAAACTTTCAGATGCCACTTTAAATAAAATGGGATTTGCAGACTAGGTTTTTTTTTTTTTGCAAGTATTAAGGTAGACAATCATACCATAATCTCTCAGCAGAGCTTGTGCAGGTCTCTCACTGTCAGGAGTTGTTGGTTCTGTGCTTCCTCCACTTGCCGTGCTAATGCCACTATTAGTGCGACTGTGACTTTTCAGGACAATATTCTCACCATCATTCTATTAATTCAGAAATCTTTGATGAGAAGAGGAAGGCTATTTTCAGAAAACTTTTGTGCTTATACGATAATCTGCTTTGACTCACCAAAGCATCTCTTCTTAAAAATGAGAGAATCTTACCGTTTCCATCTGGCAACCAATGGCCTCTAGAAGTGCTGAATCTTGCACAATGTTCAGCATCGCAGCTGTAGAAGAAGATTTAAGATATGACAACATTTTTTCAGTTAAAGTCTCTGTCTGTGTGACATTATATCTAATAATGTTTTTTGCACTGGAAGGCATTGCTCCCAATTTTTGAAAATTAGAAATTTCTTTTCAGATCCACATTTACCAATTTCAGGTCAATTCTACTACATTCATACTTTTTTTTGGGGGGGGGGAATTATCCATCATTATTTTTCCTTTGAAAAAGGAACTAGAACTATAGATAGTTTAATGGGAGTTAAACATCTGGAGAGCATAATTTGTCCATCCAGAATCGCACCAACATATGCAATGGAGAATTTTTTGCACTTTAGAGTTTCAAGCATATTTTGGACATGTGAATATATAAAGTCAACGCAGATATTAATTTTTAAATTATGAAAACAAAAATAAAATAAATTTTATCAATGTCAAAGCTTTGCAATGTCTTTGTACTGCCTTAAATTCCTTCGACAAAGGAATTTCTAAAGCACACTAGCCTTTCCCATGGTAAATTTTTTTTATACTGCTACTTGAAAGATTCTCCCCCCTTTTTTTGTGTTTTCAGAGACTGCCCTTTATTTCCTACTAAGTATATGGTAAAAAAAAAGAAAAAAATGTATTTTGGGGGAGGGGATCGTTTAAACAAATAAATAAAAAGATGTGTTATAAAACAACTGAATATATACATCTGTCAAAAAAAATTGTAACAGTTTTGGAAAAAAATAGTTTTTTCTGTATGCTATCAGAGGAAAGTATATTTTGAGTTGTTTGTCCAGAAATTATACCCTCTTCCAATGAGCCCCCCCAATATTATTCATCTGTAAGTGCAAATAAAGTATAGAACAGCCTGTGGTTTTTGCTTACCATCACAGTAATATGTATCAATCACTTAGAAAGTCATTTTTCTTTCTACTTGAACATCATTTCATTTTTAATTTCCTTAATTAATAAGATCAAATTGAAGTCATCAGAACAATACAAATATTATAAAAACACATTCACAAATTTTGAAGAACAGTTATTTATCACTCTGGCTCCTAATACCAGATACCAAGGAAACAAAAAAGTTAACTGTTCATAATCTCCAGTAACTGGAATCTGATCTTATGATAACTCAGGTAACATGCACAAAACTTTTTTTCAAAAGCAAACATCTCATGGATCAAGTAGAAAAGCAACCTAGTATCATCTGTGTATTGTTAGGGTCTGTTTCTGTCTGCAGGGCTCCAATCAATATGTTCACAAGTCTCAGTTTCAAAGAAAGAAAGGTTACTGGTTTATCATAGGATGAACTTTCATCATTGCTGAATTTTCCTTCCAGAACAATCTGAAAAACAAATTTGAATATAATCTTTATTCTCTTTCATGCGTTTAGCACGTATCTAATCAAAAAGGATGTTATCTTACTTTCCCAATATGTTATACTCCTACTCTGAACTAAAGAATGCAACACAAAAATATTGCTCAATAGAGCTATTAAATGAACTATAAAGCTGTAAATGATACGAATTAGCAAAACTTTAAAAAATTCAGTCTATGCAGATTGAGGAAATATAATTGAAGTTTCAGTTATATGCAGAAACTTGTATTTATAGAACTATGAATCATTAAGTATGAAACTCCAAAGGAATGGAGTGGTAAGAATACCAAGGAGATGTCAAGAATCTGTCTGTATAGTAAAGGCCAGGACTGACATTCACTTAACAATCACATTGTATTACCAGCTCAAGATGCAAAATATGTATATGATCCTGTCTATTTGAAATTACAGTGTGGTATATGAATGTCAAAAGTCTTAAAATATTTTATCTTAATGAAGTATTAATTGATACAAGAATATTTATAATAAATTCATGCATTCTTATTCATTTTCTGAATTTATTTCTTTTTTATGTAATAATAACATTTTTTGCAACTTGGAAGTATCCTATACTAATTGCTATTTGGTTATGTTTAGACTATTTTTTTTTTTAAAAAAAAATCACTGAAAACCCCTAAAATCCATTACCTCTGATTTGATTGTTCCAAAGTGATGAGGAAGAGGCAACAAGGACAGTAAAATATTGATAGAGGCCCTTCTTAGTTCTGTGGGATTCACATATGTTTTAAATTTTGAGAGTTCCCTGGATAAAAAACAACAACAAAATAAGGTTTTTTTTAAATCTACAACTTCTATTTCAAAGCAAAAATATCCTATTTAAGTGTGCAAGTGTAGCATTAAATGTTTGCTCAAGATTCACCAAAATGTCATGGTTTGACGGTAGAAGACCCCAATGGAAAAATTGTAGGGAGAAAATATTGGAATTCTTATTCAGCTTGAATACAGGTGATTTCATGTCCTTTATACCTGAAGCTAAGGGCAGGATGTTCAACTCTGTTGAAATACTCAGTGTTCTACCTCTGAGTATTTTAGATGGGTGGCTGCACAAGATCTTTTGGAGAACTTAGCATCTTAGTCAAATATAAGTTAGTACATTGTTAAGCAGAAGGTCCTGGTTTCAATCTCTAGCATCTCTAAGTAGGACAGGAAAAATCCCTATCTGATACTTGCCACAAGTTAGTGTTCACAGAACTGAGATAGATGAACCAACACTTATTGCTATGCTTCTGTATATGATGTAAAAATAATTTGACTCTCAAAACAATCAGATTTATTTTTTAAACTTTAAAACATGAATAAAGAAGCCATATACATAAGACAATCCTTTCTTTAATAAGTCTGCTTTAAAATCAGTGCAACTCTGTTTGCCGGATGTAGCTAATAATGAAAGCTACTTTCTCAAAAATTAGTTATTTACGCGGTCTCTCTATCAATAGTAAAAATCAATAATAATTAAAACAGAAAAATATTATCTAGTATTCCCAACTCTATCAATTTCCCTTATCCATTTTTAATGGGATCAAAAGGCATAACACAGAAGAGCATATATTTTTGTAAACATTCATATAGTATTATATATGTATGCTACAAGTCATTCAGAACATAACAAACCACATCAATAATCTTTCCCTTCCATTTTGCCCTTTGATCTGTTTTCTGGGTTAATACAGGTAGTCCTCAAATTATGTCCATAACTAAGCCCAAAATTTTTGTTGCTAAGCGAAACATTAAGTCAATTTTGACCCATTTTACAACCTTTTCTTAACATAATTGTTAAGTGAATCACTGCAGTTGTTAAGTTAGTAACACGGTTATTAAGTGAATCTGACTTTTCCATTGACTTTGCTTGCCAGGACACAAAAGGCAATAACATGACCCTGGGACACTGCAACCATAATAAATATGAGTCAGTTGCTAAGCATTCAACTTTGATTCATGTGGTGGTGGGAATGCTGCAAAGGTTGTAAATGTGAAAAACGGTCATAAATTATTTTTTTTCAGTGCCATTGTAATTTTGAACGGTCATTAAATGAACTGTTGTACCTGTATTCTTTAAAATACAGAAAAACCTTACTCAACCAGATACTTTTCATATTTGCAGTTTGTAGAATTCTTTGACAACACGGTAATTCCATTTATGAAGTTTTGAAAATATTCAGCAGTTTAAAAAGTAGTATGAATGTTATCAATTTACCTGTCAGGTAAGATAGTTTCAAGTGCTGAAATGAAGTAAGGAACCAAGACATCAATCCCCTTCAGGTCACAGCAGAACAAGGCAGGGGAGTTTAAGATGACACTAGCCAGAACTGGGTGGCAAACAGAATCAGATATCTGCAGTCCCTGAATTAAAAGCATGTAAAACCTGGCAGAAAAAGAAAAATATAAACAGTTATAGCGGGGGTCCCCAACCCCTGGTCTGTGGACCAGTACTGGGACATAGCATGCCAGCAACCAGTCCGCACATACAAGCAAAGCCCCGTCCGCGAGATGCAGGCAGCACACAAAACCACGGACCCTCTGGTCTGCGGAAAAACCTCTCTCCACAGAACCAATCCCTGGTGCCCAAAAGATTGGGGACCTCTGAGTTATAGGAAAGAAGCATTAGCAAACCAAGATTATTTTAGATGGTCAACAGCAAAGAGAAATTTGGCATTTATGGTGAGGCCTCATGAGCATCTAAAGCATCTGCTACATTTTTCTGTTTCAAATTAGCAGTTGAAAATTATCATGCTGTTCAGTCTCGCAGATGTTTTAATTAGTTATGCTGAATTAAAATATCAGTTATTTATTGCATTTATTTATTTTTCTTTCCATTCAATCGTGTGCAATTCTCAGTGACTTCCCTGCAGTTTTCTTGGCAAGATTTTTCAGAATTGGTTTGCCATTCCCTCCTTCCTAGGGCTGCAAGAAAATGACTTGCCCAACGTTGTCTGGCCGGCTTTGTGCCTAAGACAGGGCAAGAACTCATGGTCTCCAGGTTTCTAGCCTGGGGCCTTAACAACTACACTGAACTGCTTCTTATATTTATATACCACTTTTATTTATATCCCACATTTATTCTGAGACCTCAAGACAGTTTACATCTTCCTAACAACTATGAGATGTTGGGCTGAAAGAGAATGATTAACCAAATCATCCAGGATGACCAAATCATTCTTCTCCTAGCTAAAAATGTAACCACCAGGGCTTACTATGCTGAGATGGCATGGAAATCTTTTAAATACAATGAGTAAATGACAATTTATTTATTTATTTATTTATTTATGAGACTTATATACCGCTTTAAGTGCAAGCACTCTCTAAGCGGTGTACACCAGTAAGCAATCTGGGTCCTCATTTTACCTACCCCAGAAGGATGGAAGGCTGAGTCAACCTTGAGCCGGTGAGATTTGAACCGCTGACCTGCTGAACACAGTCAGCTAAAGTGGCCTGCAGTACTGCACTCTAACTGCTGTGCCACCTCGGCTCATATTTAAACCCAAAGGAATATGTCTTATTTAGCACATCATGACCTACTTTTAGAATACTAAAACTAAAATATAAGTGTAGGTTCATCTGATCTGAAGTCGTTTACTAATCAGCAACATGAAGGAGTAATTTAAAGTATAATATTTTCTTCACACAAAAAGACTATTTGATTTAGGGACTGACTTCTTATACTTCTGTCCTCCCTGTAAAATAAGACTCTCCACATTAAGCTATGTGCAGAATTACATATCACAATTAAAGCAAAAGCACCATTACAATTGGAACCCTGTGAATGAGAGCTTTTCATCTCTCCTAGTAGTTACATATATTGTGTTATCTGTTTCTCACCTATTATAATCAATGATGCCAATTGCATAAACATGTCAGTAATCACAATATGCCACCATGTATTACAAAAGGACAATGGGAAAAAATGAGTATTCATTTGCTTTTCATAGACACAACCATGACATCTGAAATATGCAGTCTGGATTAACAGTTTCACAATTCAAATAAACATTTTTTCTTATAAATGATATTAGAAGAGTTTCTGCCAAACAACTGAAGAATTGCTACTTGCCTTGAAGCATTCTTAAGTAATGGCAAAAAGTTATTTGCAAATTTGTATGGCAGGATTAAAAAAAAAACAAGAATTAAATATAAATTGTTGCAAGATGCTAAAGAAAGAGGTGGGCTAGGATTATCTGACTTAAATCTGTATCTTGCCTATTGTATGGATGAAAGACTGGATGACTTTGAGAAGTGGAAGGTTATTGGAGTTGGAACAAAATGATTTGACATTTGGGCAGCACAGCTATTTCTGTTATGACAAGTTAAGGTCAATATAGATTTTAAAAATCATTTTATTAGATGAGCCATATAAGGGTTTGGAAGAAGTATAAAACAAGATTGTCTCCCAAAATCCACACCAAGAAGTTTTTTTTTAGAAGAGAAATGATAGTTACACCTAATAGACCTATGCTGGTCAATTTAACTTTTCTTGAAGGAAAACCTAAATTAAAAACAAGAGAAAGATTGGAAACAGGTCACCCTTGTCAATGGTTTGCTTATGCTCAATTGACAGAAAGATTTAAACTGGGCAAGAATTACGATTTTATAAATGAGTAAACTGATTTTGAATTGGTTTGTGTTCTAATGATGAGCATGTTATTGATAAGATGTATAAACCTTTATTGAAATTGAATATGGAAGATGTTAAAGACTGTATGATTAAATGGGCAATTTTTTTGGATACGATATAATGCTTATGCAATGGTAGAGTATGAGGATTAAAGGATTGAAATTTACACTGAATTATAATTTGAAAGAGAATTTTTATAAGATGACGTACTTTTGGTATTTAATACCTGATAAATTGTAAAATATGTATAAGGTAGTGTCAAATATACGTTGGAAATGTAATCAATGTGAAGATACTTTTTATTATCCTTGGTAGACATATAAGAAAACTAAGAAATATTGAGATCAGATACATAGTTTAATTCAGAGAATTCTTAAAATGAATTACAATTATAACCAGAGGTTTTTTTTTAGGCCCTGATGGATAAACAAATTGAAAAATATCTCGTTTTCATATATCACAACAGGTAAGGAGATTTCTCTATGCAAAGGTGGAAGGACTTACAAATTCCTACAATGTAAGAATGAAGAGTAAACTTAATGGCAAATGGTTGAGATGGCAAAATTGATCCAACAAAAGTCTTCTCTAGCATTGTTTCTACTTGGAAACCACTTGTGGACTTTTTGTTGAAACTGAATTAAATGAAACTTTAATTTTGGAATTTGACAATTAGAATTGCTTATGATTAAATAAATAGTATGGTTAATTTCAGAGTAAGAGGTTAATATATTTTACATTTGTATCTGTATCAAAGAAAATTGGAAGTCATTCTTTTTCTAATTCTTTTTTCTTTTCTGCACTTCTGTTTTGTTCTCAATCTTTCCTTTTTCCAATCCTTTCTTTTCCATTTCCTTACATTGCATATTTTGTTGAAGCCTAATAAGGTTTATGGGAAAAAGAGAAAAGAAAAAATTTGCTACTTTCCTTATTGTTATCATTATTACACCCTCTTCCTATTAACATTTTCCTAAAGTGGTGTGGGAAGCATATAATGAAGAAAACTGTATTTTATTTGCTTAAAAAATGGAATCCAGAATATTGTGTTTTTACATACCCAAATGTCAAAGATATTATTCTTGAAATCTCAATTGATAGAATGTGTATTAATTTAAAATTATTTAATTTAAAATCCAATATCTGAAGTGGCCAAACATTAAGAAGTTGGAAAAAACCCTTCATGGGTAACAAAGGTATATAACAATATATTTGAACAATTCAAAATGTAAATCAGTACCGAGATAAGTAGGCTGGCAGTATATCTTCTCCAGTTTTCTTGCTACAAAATATTCTACAGAGTGTTCCACATGCCTCTGCTCTGCCAGATTCATAGTTGTCAGAAAACTCCCCTGCATCAAACATAGGATTGGAAGCCACCGTCTCTGCAGACATTTGTGAACCTTTCCTGCGAAACTCCATATTTGCTTGTGTTGCTATAGCTAAAACAAAAACAAGAAGTACAGAGTTTCATTACATTTGCAAGCATATCCAACAGGCTCATGGGATCCTGGACACAAAGATCATGTCAAATTTAGTAATCATAAAAAAACATTAGTTTGCTGTATTTACGTTAATGCCTCTGTTTATAAAGCATTTAGGGACTATGACTTTTATAAGAAAATTATTTTCCTTTCACCTTCACACACAAGTAAATCATCTCCTCCTTCAACAATCCATGCTACCCAAGCACAGAAGACTCTGCTCCATTCACATTCTCAGCCAGATGCATCAACAAAATCCCCTGAAACTTGTTTTACAGCGATGTCATTAATTTTCCTTATCCGCTATATAACTCTTTTACGTCCTCAAAAACTTGACTTGGCCTTTTAACTATCCAGCAAGCTCTTGGGTTCCCAATTACTTCTCCTTTACCTTTTGCCACTATTGTGAACCTACACTGGAACTAGAAATAAGGGTGCAGGCAGATGGCAAATTCCAAATCATGTCTATGGAAAATTTTGCTTCAAAAAAGCGAAGAGATATATTTCTATAGCACCAGAGAAAATGCTCAGAAGGAAATGCCTTCCATACACTTCTCAATTTTTTTCTTCTACTGTTGTTTCATCTTCATCAAGCCTGCTTTCCAGAACTATGAGTCGCTTTTATGAGATACACAAGGGATGGTATGGCAAAGGTGGCCTGAGTGCTGAGATGGAAATTCGTGCATGCCTATAAAACTTTTGGTGGCATGGATCAAGGGGGAAAAAAATCAATATAGTTTAAAGTGCATCAGGAAGCTACAAGGAGTTCACTCTTCTCTTCCTGTGGCTATATTTTTCCCAACAGGCATCAAGCATATTTTATTCACAAATTTCTACGGTCATTAATGCTCTATGGAAACATGTAACTGTTCAGTTTTTTCTAGCTCTCAATCAGATGTTCCCTACCCAATTCCTTTTTTCCAGATATGTTAGATGGATTCTAGCAAATATGAACAGTTTAAAATCATGCAAATGGATGCTCACAAAAAAGAATAATTCCAGTTCTAAAAAAGCAACTGTTAGTCCAACTCTACCTTATTAGGGAAATGGAGAAAGATATTTTACAGCATAATCCTATGCAGGCTTCCTCAAAAGTCTCACTGAATTCAAAATTCAGAGTTACTTCAAAGAAAGCTACGTAGGATGCAGCCTATGTCAACTACAGTCTTACAAACAGAAGCTCTGCCCATGCACTGAATGTTTATTACTAATAGATTGGTAATTTAGAAGAAACAGGTTAAGATAAATTTTATTGTTTTTTTTTTTTAAAAAAAACAATTTCTTCACTAATTTTATTTTGGTAACTAAATCCAAATCTTTATGCGTCTTCCCATGAGCCATTTTTTATCCTGAATAAGCTAGCCAGCAAAATGTTATATTGGGGCGGGGGGGGGAGGAGGAGGGAGGAAAAAACTACATGCAGAATGCATACAAATCAAAACACTAGATCTGTGTAAAAGAAGCTTTATGGGAAAAAAACATGGTTAGTGCAAAGTCCTATAATTCATGACATGAACACAGACTAGAGTACGGAAAATGATGGGACTGATTTCAGGCAGATTTGCTTTTGCCAACAATCTTCCCCACTTAAAAAAGCACACACAGCTACTTGTCTTTCCCATGTAAAGAGCAAAAGCTACATGACAATGATACAAATTTTAAAAAATGGGATTATGAAAAAAAAAAGAAAAAGAAAAAAAACATGACTGCAATTAAAGAGAAGCTACTAGTTCCTACTTACAAGATTTATAAGAAAGAAGAATTTGGATAAAAGATGCTGCAAGATAATAGAAATAAAATGGAAATAAATCAAAGGACAGCAATAGTTATAAAATACTTTAAAATGATGAAACTGTAATAACAAGTTAAATAGTGTTTAGGGTTTTGAAACATATATTAAAAACTTATGATCTAAGCAGGCTGGTTAAACACATAGGAAATTAGCATTACGGTTCAAAATTATGATTTCATGCAGAATTTTGAAAGATTTAAAATACTGTCATGGGTTTCATATATTGTACATTTAGTTTTACAGTATTATTCAGAAAGCAATTTGCTTTTATTCATATATCAGCAAATGAAGATCTACACTATAAGGAAATCATAAAGAGACGGAAAGAAAGAAAATTTATTATCTGTTTATCTCACATCAGATCAGTTTATTTGCAGTTTCCATAGGGATGGCAAAACATTTTAGTGATCACTCAAACCCTTTCTTCAAAAAAAAAAAAAAAAAAAAAAGCAACAGAAGAAACTTTAATTCAAGGTTACCTGCACTTGGTGGAAAAGTGGAAGGGGAAAGAATTACAAATCATCTGGGAAAAAAACAGACCAGGAAGGGGTTCATAAGAAATCCCTTTTAATGTAAATGGTAGTTAAGAATCTTATTTCACTCTGAGGATCACACTGGAATTAATTAATTTTGTAACTATGAAGATTTGTGTGGGAATAGTAATGTATTGTTTAAATTAAAGCTGAAACAAATCCAATCATTACTTATGTGCTGTGAAGGTATATTTGCATAAAGTAGTGCCTGCATAAATCAAAGCAGAATTAATTATGCCATCATATCCACTGATAAAACAAAAATGTCTCCAACCTTAGAAAGCCATTTCCCATATGGCTTATTACTACCACAGCAATCTCTCATTTTAGATAAAATGTGAGGCAACACATCTAATTTCTCTGCATTGTACTGAGGGCTGCTTGAAGCCCTGAGTAATGACTTAATAAAGAAGAACTGAGGCAAGAAAAGAAAACTGTTCAAGCTTTCTCTTCAAGGGTTCTGCAATCTGTAGCTGCTATCAACAAGCATGCCTTCTGCACATTTGTTCTCTTACTTCCAGGGCATTTTTAAAGTAACCCTTTATCCATGTTCACGTTGGCATTTTTTGCAACAGCTATATATATGTTCAGATTCAAGACTATATAAAAATAAGAATTTCCAGCAACCTATTTGCTTTTCTAATATAGAAAAGTTTTAAATGACAAAAGACTTGAAGCAAAGAATGTTCCTTCCACAAAGTACATGTTTATGCAAAGGACTACTTTCAGCAATGCTTCAAAGTAAAGAAATACTGTACTGTAATTCCAATATTGGCTATGCAAATTATCCAGAGTAACTACAACATAGAAACAATCTTTCACCAAGTCAAAAGATTAAAATAACATAATGTTTCTATTTTAAGAGAAACAGGAATAGTAAAACATAACACACAACCAAATGTAGCAAGCAAGGCTAGGAAAAAAAAAGAATAGAACAGGGGAAAATGGTTCTAAATCAGACTCAAAAATTTATTTGAATCTTTATTAGTTTATACTGCATAACATGTAGTTAAGCCTACACAAACAGGCACATGACACTTGAACGTTGAGAAATTACAAAAAGGACAGACACGCCTTCATTTCTTTACAGTACCTCCTTGAGTGGCCAGCAATTCCTCTTGTTCAACTACAATTAATTATTCACTCAGTTAGTGCAACTCTTCTGAGTTTGTCTATCACTTCATAAAACAAACAAATTACACTATCCACTGATCCAGTTTTGTGTATTTGAATTTAGCAGCAGCTCTGTAGAGCTTTAAACAAAGTTCTTTCTCATTCATCTGAAATACACAGATTGCCCACTCCCACGCCTTGAAGGGCTTTAAAGATTAAAAGCAGCACCTTGAAGTAGACCCAGAAGCAAACTGGCAACCAATGCAGCTCACAGAACAGAGGTGTAACATGCACTGCTGTAGGAGCACATGTAACTGCCTGCACCACTGCGTTCTGTACCAACTGAAGTTTCTGGATATTCTTCAAGGGCAGCCCCACGTAGAGCACATTGCAGTAGTCGAATCTGGACTTGATTAGGGCATGAGTGATTATAAGCATGACCTGCCTCCTCATCATCAGGAGCAAGAAGATAGTGGAGAAAGTCAACTGGGGTGGTGGAGTGCAGGGAGGCAGGAATCTTGGGAGTGCAGGGTAGCAAGGGACTGGGATGGCTGTGGCTCCTTGGGGAGTGGCAAGCAGCCCCAAAGTCGTCCAGTTCTGTGCCGTTTGCCATTCCACAAAGGCCACGCAAGGTGAAGAGTGGCCAAAAGAGCAGAGATGGGGGCAAGATAGGGAGATGGGGAATTTGGAGGCAATTTCTTACTATGGCTCAGGGCAGGGATAGACCAAGCTGGGAATGGCTTGGCTTGGGATGGATACTCAGCCAACAACCATTACATTCACTTAAGGACAGTATTGCTGGGATTGCAGTGGCTAATCAATTGGTCCCCAATGGAAGAGAATATATGTAGCTCAGGGCTGAACTGTGAAGTCCTGGGTGCTCTCTAAGCTTTGTTGCTTACTAGGTAATATCTTCAGTGCTATAAGGGAACAGGGTTTGCTTTCTGTTTATATACAGTAGTTTGCTGTATCAGCCCTCCCAGAGAAACCAGACAGGAGATACAATTAGATGACCTAATGTTATTTTATTGTAAATAATAGAATCTTGCAAGTCTGAAAGTAGAAACTTTCTGCCACTTTTAACTGCTTGATTCATTAGGGTGGGTCCTTCCTAAATTTCTTTCTCTGACTGTTAAGCCACTGGGAGCTCCTGCCTCTCTTGTCTGATTATTTCCTAGACAGCATCTCTACACCCTGTCAGTGGGAATACTGTTTTCTTTTGGGTACTTTCTGGATTATGCTATTGTTTATTGCTTGTTTACTGCTAAAAGGAAGCAAAAATACCAGAAGACTTCTTTGCCAGCAGTCAACAGCCAGATAAGCAAGGATATATACTAAAATTAACACCAAACAATTAAGCACTAAACAATACTCTAATCAAGGAGCTATTACCCAAGACAAACAATCATATGTATATGTATATTTTGTGGCTAAGATAGGAATAGAAATAATGGTCTCTTGGTTTTTAGCGGGGAGGGAGGGAAGGAAGGAAGGAAGGAAGGAAGGAAGGGAGTGAAGGAAGGAAGGAAGGAAGGAAGGAAGGAAGGAAGGAAGGAAGGAAGGAAGGAAGGAAGGAAGGAAGGAAGGAAGGAAGGATACTACAGGTAGGAAGACTAAAATAAGTAAAATGAAGGCCTTGGGATAAAATGATACAGAGCAGCAATATGAGGTGCTGAATGCAAGCTTTAAAAAAGTATTAAAAGAAAAATGAAGAAATAAATTTGCATTCAAACTCTGTATGATACAGTTGCATCCAAAAATGAAAGGCAGCTACAGAATCTCAATGGTTGCTCTATAAGAAGTGAAATTATATGAGAATTGATAAGGCATACATGGAAACAACTTAGTTCAAAAAGACAAGTAGGAAAATCTTAGCTTAAAACAGGAAAGAAAGATGGCAAGATATGAACACAATAATTGGGGTGATCAGTGAGTGCTTGAACCATTGGAAATTTTGAGAAAAGTCCCAATAATTTTGAGAGAATTGATAATGAAATTCTGATCAAACACCTAAACCTGAAAAATGAAGGGTTCTAATGACAGTGTGCCAAGTATTATAAAACCTATACTCCAAAAGACATGAGGGAGAGGGCAGACACAAAACAAAGGTATCAGGAGGAATTAATGTTGCCCTTTTTGAAGGGTAATTTACTTCAAGACAATATATTTCCTAAAAAAAATCTAGATAAATAAAAATATGTCTGAGATTGTCTTATTGATAGGACAAATTGGTAGCTATAGGTAGTTCTCAAATTTTGCATGTTGCAGGGCAGAAGCCCTTCACGTATAGATGTTATATAGCACATTTTAAAATTTTTAGTGGTCCCTAAATTCTTGTTCCTGTTGCCTATATCAGAATACAGAAAAATTTCCTCCCATTTGAGCTCCTATTGATTTACACTAACATATACATGGAATTTTATTGTCCTGATATAGAAATTATTTGTTATTGCCTTTTTCTAAAACACTTTTTTCAACCTCCCAGTCTAGCCTATAGCCCTGGACGTCTTAGATAGCTTTCCCATGCAAGTACTTACCAGTTTTGCTTTCTAGATCAGCCAAAGTCAGCTAAATATTGCACAATGCAAATTAGACTAAGTGCTAGGATACCAGCAATATGAAACATATGAAAAAACAAACCTTTTTCACTTACAAATTCTTAGCATCTTAGTATTATATGTTTAAATATCAATAAATGCTATGTTTAAAGATCAATAAATACTAATTAAATTTACTACTACTAGTAAGGGCTTGAGAATTTTACAGTGAGGGTGGAGTCAGTGGCTATATTTTTCACAGAATACATAATAACAAGCTACTACAAAATATTATGCAATGTGATTCTGAGTTATATCAACATGATGTATTCTTACTGAGCTAGGAAAAAACAATGAGCCAAAAGTTTCATTCTATTACTGTCTGGAACATTATTATACATTATTTCTCTTATGTCCAATTTTATATGTAAATTTAAAAAATGAGGAAGTCAGATAAAAAATTTGAAGATTAAAGATTGAAAACTACAGCTTTACAGAACCCTTGAAGCTAAAGAATTTAACTAATCATTGAAATAGCAATTCTGGGGAAAAAAACAAACAATAATGAAATAATGCAGGCACATCCTATTATAGGGCTTGCAGCCCATCCTAATTAACTGCTTGAAATAATTCAGTTAGGAAATTTAGTTTTGAAGTAATGCTACAAAACTTTCTCTTAGCCAATATGTTGCAGAAGACATCTTTATTAGTGTCAGTGAAAATAAGTGACCTAGTTACAAAATTTTACTTTTAACTGTTACAGTCCCTTAAGTTGCCAATAAAATCAAGATGTTATTTATAATAAATTAATATAATATTTCACACTGACGTAAGTTAATATTATTTTTCAGATTTTAATTTTGGTTAGCCAAACCTGTTAATGGCAACAAAGAGGATGAAGTGTACAAAAAGGGTGAAAATATTTACCAGTCATACTGCTGTCCCTGTTTATTCCATTATGAAGCTTACAATGAACAAAGGCTGCATCAAACAGCCATGATCCAAAGAGGTTCAAGATACTATTAACTTTTGGCCTGTGAGGAGCAGGTAGTGGTCGAGGCTCACAACTAGTCTGGTTTGGGCTAGACAGCGGAGAAGTAGAAGATGGCTGGTGTTTGGAAGCATGAGCAGTGTTAGCCTATTTGAATGAAAGAAAAAGAAAAGCAATTATCATCTGCATTATAAGAAATATCAACACAACATAGCTGTTGCTAAGGGTAAAGACTTACTGTGCTGTTTTTCATTGTTGGCTTATTCACAGTTACAGCACGATGTCTTCGATTATGAGGTGGGGTTGTATTAACAGCTGCAGTTTGGGGCATGCTCAATCTATTTACTGGTGTAGGTGGAGCACTATCAGCCCGGGGTCTTGAAATACCTAAAAAATATAACATCAATTTCAACCTGAAGTTCTTCCTAAAATCAATGGTAATTTTTTAGAAATTAGTTTTTTTTACTAAGACTAGAAAGAAGTGAAAGTTTTAAAATTATATATTATTGCTTCTTAAAACATAACCAGAGCTGAATGTATACCATGAAAACAGAAATAGAAGAAAAAAGAAAGTTATTTTTTACCAAATTGGTTAATAGTCATCTTCAAAATTTTAAGAGAACTATTAATCTCTAACATAAGTAATAAAGTTAAATGCACAGCTTTCTTATATCTAGTTGAACATTCTTCAGAGTGATAAGCTAGAGAAAATCAGTGGGGGTGAACTGATTAGTTCCGTACATGACAAGAGGCTCAATGAAACAAATCTACATAAGCGTTTGCAGTGATATGATGCTCTACTTTTGAAAAGTGTGTAGCATGCTTTTGCAAACATTTCACTTATGTTTGTATTATGATATTAAGAGGCATTTCCCCCCCCCCTCAAATAATTAACTGTAACTTGAGAGAGTCAATTTTACAATACTGGTCAGAACAGAAAAAGCTGTAATAGTTTAGAAGCATTTATAAAGGGCATTTCATTATAGGCCAACCAAGCACCCTTTTTGATGCATTAAATCAATGATGTGTTCTGATAGGCTGAAAAGGTGCACCAGTTGCTTCAAAGGGTTTTCTTAGTATCTTGAACAGGTAGCATTTCCACTGGAACTACCAGCAGAGTTGAGACTATGGTTGGTTTAAATGCTTCAGTGAGTGTTTTGACCCCTTTGAATACTTTGGACAGCCCTAGAAGTTGTTAAAAATAAAGACATGTACAAGAGATCAGTGATGAGTTGTCAGGACACCACTAACAATTAGTCATTATTGAAGAAATAATGAGTAGCTTTCTATTAGGTTTTTTCCCCTATCCTGCTCTTTTTCTTCCTTCTCTTTTACATGCAGTTACCCCTTTGTTGTATTCCATTTCCCTGCTTGTTTTGCTATTTCTATAAGAAATAATTAACATAACAGAGCTCCCTATTTTACAAAAAAATAAATTTCAACTGTAGCTATTAATACAACTAATAAGATGTTTTTGTCTTACTCTGCGTACATTTGGGATTGTGGCTTTGTGGAGGTATATAAACAGATGTACACATACCCACATATATATACTAGTGTGCCACAGGCACACGATTACTGGGAAATAAAAACTTCTCTAATAAAGGTTTCAGCCGGAGTTGGCAGCTGAAGCTCAAATGTAGCTTCCAATGACACTACTGAAAAGAAAGGTCAAAATTTCATGTTGTTTTCCTACTTGTGGGAATACAACTTTCTGTTAAGGGATGGGTTTAGGAATCAGAATAAAAGCATTTTATCTCATGCAGATATTACTGTCTCATTCCTCCTCCACAACACTGCCCTTACACTACAAAATTAATTAGTTAGTTAATTAATTAAAAAATAGCCCTTCGAAAATCATCTTGTTGCGGAACTTTGGCAGTTGGATTTCAAGATATCCTGGGGAGCACAAATGGTATGCCAGGAGCTGCAGGCAGCCATTTGCCCCACTTGCCCACTCTAAATATACAGCTTACAAAATATCAATCTAACTTAAGGCTTGAAAATGCAATGTTTAAATTTATTTTTAAAATACCACAGAATTCAACTTTATTGTAGCAAATATTAAAAATTATTAACATTGGAGCCAAAGTTTCACTCTTCCCATTTTAGAAACAATATGTTGTTTGTTTTGTAGCAAAGGTCTCTTGTATCAAAATATAAATTGCTCATGAACATTTGCCAAACTATTTTAAGGGAATCTCATTTTATATTCATAATCTTCAGAAATCAATCTTGCCACAATTTAGAATAGAATAGAGCTGGAAGGTACCTTGGAGGTCTTCTAGTCCAGCCCCCTGCTCAAGCAGAAAAATCTATATCATCTCAGACAGGTAATTGTCCAGTCCCTTCTTAAAAATTTCCAGTGATGGAGCGCCCACGATTTCTGGGGGTAAGCTATTCCACTGGTTGATTGTCCTCACTGTCAAGAAGTTTCTCCTTAATTCCAGATTCCTTTTCTCTTTGATCAGTTTCCAACCATTGTTTCTCATCCTTCCCTCTGGTGCTCTGGTGAACAACCTGAGCCCCTCTGCCTTGTGGCAGCCCCTCAGACACTGGAATATTGCTATCATGTCTCCCCTATTTCTTCTTTTCTTTAGAGTAGCCAAACTCAAGTTCCACAGCCATTTTTTCTGTTTTGTCTCCACACCTTTGATCATCTTAGTTGCTCTTCTCTGAATTTTTTCCAAATTCTCAACATCTTTTTTGTGTTATGGTGACCAAAATGGGCTGCAGTATTCGAGGTGTGGCCTTACTAGGGCTTTATAAAGCGATACTAATACTTCACGTGATCTTGATTCTATGCCTCTGTTTATATAACCCAGGATTGTATTAGCTTTTAAAGAATAAGGATAGGAAAGCTCCTCAGCTTTTCTCATAAAATTATGTCCTTGTTTTTTTCTGTTTTAGCTATGGTGTTGGAGGATTTAAAAAATGAAGAAGAAAAGAGGCCCTCAATAATTTTCTGAACCTTTGATAAAACTCTTGATGGCTGAGGAATATGGTTGCCTCAAAGTGATATATGAGCAGTCAAATTACATGGAAGTCTAATCTATAAGTATAGAACAGCTGCTTCCAACAAAACTAAACTCCATGTTTCTCTAGATCAGAGGTCCCCAACCTTTTGAGCACCAGGGACCAGATCTGTGGAGAGAGATTTTTTCACAGACTGGAGGGTGCATGGTTTTCTGTGCTGCCTACATCTCATGGAAGGGGCTTTGCTTGTTTGTGCATGCCATGGCCCTGTACTGGTCCATGGACTGGGGGCTGGGGACCCATGCTCTAGATCTAGGGTATAGTACAGATGTTCCCAAGCTTTGTCAGTTCATGGCACCCTAAATAGCTCTGTAATTTTTTCATGTTGGACCTAAGCCAAAACTGTGAACTTTTTTGATCTGGTAGTTCACAATATCATAGCATCTCTGTAAGTTCGTTGTGGCAGCCCAGGGAAACCAAGAGTATAATGTATTTTTTCTGTATCAATGTGATCGTGACTACTACATTTCTGGAGCTTACTATTTTGGTGTCATTTTCAAATCTCAAATGCAGGACAGAATTCTTCATTTACAATTAAGGGAAGACTTTAATCCACAGATAAAAGCATAAACAATTTGCAAGTGAGTGATTGACAGCTCTCTTCCACATGCCTTGGTACCACAATCAGCACAATTGAAACAGATCTGTTTGTCGTAGTTTAACAAAGAGAAAGAAGCAGTATTCTGTTATTAAACAGCTTTTTATGAGTTAAATTAACAAATAATTCTAAGATTGATTTTAATGCAAATTCTGCATTTGACTCATGATTAAGTGTAGCTCTCTCACGCTGCAATAAATTTTAAATAAAATAGCATTCTGCAAAAAAAGTCCACATAATTTAATTATATTCTTTCGTAGTCTATTTTAATTTATTGAAAGATGTGACAGTGAAGTAATTCATTAAAAGATAAATACTAAAATGGAATGACTATAGTTGATCTGCTTATTTTCAAACTGTGTTATGTTACCTATTAGTACACATCATGTTTTTTTCCACTAATAGGCATAACAGACTTGCTGGGTTAGCTAGACTAGGAATCTATATGCACAGCAGCCAAGCAGATGCCAACAGGAAACCCATAAATTAGACATGAGTACAATATCATCATCCGGCTTGTACTCCCTATCAGCTCCTATTCAACAGTATTGAATATTTATCTATTCAACCTCTAACATTGCAGTTATGATACATAGCCATCATAACCAATTATTTGAATGCCTTAGACTCTGTGTATTTATCTTCTTTTAAATATAACTAAGATTTATATTTGGCATATTCTGTAGCGGCAAATTCCAGAGCTCATTGCAAAGTAATCTAATTTTATTTGTCCTGAAATTCCCATTCTTCTTTTTCATTCAATGAGTACTTCCCAGATTTTTATAATTTATAAGCCATCAATAATTTTATCAAAGAGTACAGATCCCATCATGATGGAAAACCACTTCTTAAAAATATATTTGAAGTTATTCTGTTATAATATTTATAATTTTGGGTAAGTTTTAAGTTTTCACTCTATACTTAACCTCACTAGTCCTATGCATCAACAGCTGAAAATTATTGCAATAGATGATTTCATATGCTGGTATTATCACAATATTTTTATCTCCAAGAATAACTTGATATACCTCCATTACACCTGTTTTTGAAGCTACAGATATCTTTTTCTCAAGAAAACTGGGATTAGGCAAACCATCTTTTCTATATTTTTTGTTACACAGTATCATAGTGCAAACACTAGAGGTATACATCATACAAAGTTAGCAGCAGCTTTAAACTACTTCAAAGTATTTTACTAGTAGTAAACTTTATAGTTATCCTAACATGGGAGCTGCATTCTCTGGGTTTTTTTTTACAGCAGACACACATTGAATTCATATCATAACCTTATGACTTTCACATTCAGTTCCCATTACCTCAATGGCTATCAGCAAATATCTGAAGTTAGGGATTTTGCCTAATATGAATCATTCTATATTTATCTGTTTTGAACTTCAGTTGGTATTTTAATATTAATTTCTGCCACCAATCTCAAGTTTGGCAACATACACTGCACTTTTGAAATTATTAAAGCATTCTATTTAATGCCCCATAGAAAGAATCCTTCCCCTTTATTCAAGCAATCCCTTCATGAATTTTTCAAAAAAATTAATTTATGAGATATTTTCCCTATTTCTCAATAATTAGAAATTTTAAACATGTCTTAATATATTCCAGCATGTATGTAAATGTTATTTGAATAAATTAGGACTATAGAAAAATTATACAAAGAACTAAATACACATCTGTGGAATTGTTAACAGTACAGCTGGGTTTTAATAGCAGGGGCAGACCAATGTCATAAACAACAAGACCTAATTAAGATTCCATTTAACTTTTTCATTTATAAAATGGTTAAAATTATACAATTTTGGGACATCACATTAATTTTGTTGCAGAGTGAGAGAGAAACTTAATAACATGACCGAAAGATCTTAAGGAATGGTAGTTGTGTATATGTCTGTGTGTGTGTGTGTGTGTGTGTGTGTGTGTGTGTCTGTGTCTGTGTATACACATAGACACAATTTCTGGAAATACACAATCCACAGCAATGAAGAAAAGCCCAATTTTATAGCAAAAAGGAAATCTATGTAACAATTTTAAAAATTAAGCACAATACTATATTTTAAGTATTTTATTACAATGTTAATATATCAATTTATACTAAGAAACCATCATAACAGAATACTGCAGCTTTCTAAAATTTGATTCAAATCCCAACTACTGTTAAATCACCACCCATCGGCTGAGATTCTTGTCACCCAACAGAGTGCAACAAGTTTTAATACCATATCTGGGTAATCTTTCGCACACACTGGTTGTAAATGCAGCAACTCCTAAAGAAGAGAGAGAGTATATTTCTGATACATTATGTGCCATAATGGAAACATTTCCAAAAAGCAGTTCCTGAGAAAAATGACATATTGTATTCAATTTTTACTGAAAGTTATGGTTTCATACAAAAACAGACAATTGTTTTAGCTAACAGCAAAACCAAAATCCTAAAAATTCTTGAAATTATTCAAGTAGAAACCAAGAAATATTTCAAGCATTTTGCTAAATATGTTAATAATCTATTTTTCAGTACCTATTAGCAAGACTACAAAAATCTGAACAGAAAAAGACTTGACTGGTTTCCTGAAAGACATTATGATCACCCAAGGTTTTGCAATGTACCTTCTAACTTTATATTTTAGAAATAGTTTGTCTACCTTAAATTTTGTCTTTAGAAAATGTACGTAGGAGAGGCATATCGGAATCAGAGGTGGAAGATGAAGCTCATAAGACTAACAATTGCCAATTATTTGAAATAAAATATATTTCAAATGTGCTGATAATATCATCGACACATGTGCAATTATAGTCCTGCAGCACATAACTGTAGTGTTAAATAAATGAATATAAAATGTTGATGAATGTTAACTATAGCACAAAAAGAGGAAAGCAACATCTTATCAGTTAAAATACTTTACCTAGAAATGCATCCACTAAGCAACTAATCCCACGCATAGCACGAAAGAATATTTGAGGCAGATGTTTAAGGCAGGGATACTGATTCAATTCCTGAGCCATTCCACTCACATTTAGGAACTGTTCCTGAAATTTGGGGGTAGAACTTATTATCGCTGGATTACTCAAATCCACAGGATTGCTACAAAGAAAAAGAATATTATTTAATCAGAATAAACTGACCTGATGAAGAAAAAACCCTAGAATACACTGAGTATTTTTATTCTTTAAAAAAGATTATTTTAAAGAAATTAAAAGATTCCATCATTCTTGAAAGTCTGGAAACATACATCATTCCTTAAGTTTCTAATACCAGTGGACAAATGTATCACAAAGCTTGTCATCTATAAAGTGCTGCATGAAGAACTGATTTCTGTTTAAATATGTTGTGAAGATGAAATGTTTAAAACTTAATAGACCAAGAAGTAACAAACAACTCATCCAATACTTAGCTAATAAAGATGACAAGGAGTTTGGGGATTTAGGTTTAAAAGAATATTAATTATGATCATCTAGGGGCACATAACCTTTGTATGCTGACGTAAATGCAACAGTGTTATAAGAAAATGGTACAGCTATATGAATGTTTGGTATAAATGCATTAAAATCGTAGAGGAAGTGGAGGATTATTAGTTTAGTATGTAGGGCAGTGTTTCTCAGCCTCAGCTGCTTGAAGAGGTGTAGACCTTAACTCTCAGAATTCCTCAGCTATGTGAAAGGAATACAATTAGCAAAACACTGAAAAGGTAGGAAGAATTTCAGAAAAACTTTTTTCTACAGCAGCTAGAAAAAGTTTTGAGTCAGAACTGTACAAAAGCTGTTCTGAGGACAACTCCAAAATACCAAATGCTCAGATTAAGTCAGATGTTTCCACAGGTTAATTTATTTCCTGAATGAAATATATCCATTCAGTAAGTAAACAGGATTGGGTTTTTATTTTATTTAATTACTAGGTTTGAATATCTGGATTCTAAACTATTACAAAGCCACTTCACAACAAGGCCAACATATTTCAATAAACTTTGACTCAAAAAGACTCATACATAACAGATCCAAGTAAACTCGCTAGTAACATGACATGATTTCTCTTCTGTACAATACCTCAGCATATGTAAAAAGCGAAACCAAGTTTGGGCAACACATTCGTTATCCATTTCAGGAGGTATCAAGTTTGCATCTTCATCAGGAATTTTAAAAGGTGGAAATGAAGGTCCATATGTAAAACGCAACAATCTAGGAACAAAAATAGGCTTTTTAATGGTTTCAGAGTTCTGATTGATTTCAGTACATATATTAGTATCCATATTTCAATGGAGGCATTTGCTGAACAAAATCCTTATAAATATCATGTAAACATCCAAACTCTAATCAACGTAATTATATTTTAACACTTAAACATTTCATGAAGTACTTCTTTTAGACCAAGCAAAATTACAGTTAACAGTTGATTTGTACTCCAATGAAAAGGAAATTTAAACAAAGAATTAACTGATTATATAGTGACATGAAACATCCTTGCTCAAATGGTAATACTCATACAGTGCAGAGTTATTTTTTTTATTGAAAAGTTTTACAAAAAATTATAAAATATACCCCAAACCCACCCACCCTACCCCCCTACCCCACTTCCCAGAGCTGAATACAGGGTAATAAATATAATAATCATAATCTAACTAACATTAACCAACTATATAGGTAAACAAATATAATGCGCTTTAACTCTCTTTTAACACAAAGTAAACAATTTAAGAATAAACTTAATCATATAAACAAATTAAATTCCTAATTTCTAAACAACACAATATTATAAAATTTCCACTATACTAAACTATTAATAATAATAACAATAATAATATTCTAAAATTTATTCATAAAATAAATGGAACTTTTTAGTCCCATATTTATTCTGAATATAATCTATCCATTTTCTCCAAACCGAAATGTATCTTTCTTGTGAATAATCCTTCAAATAGGCAGAAATCTTAGCCATTTCTGCTAAATTTGACACTTTAAGTGTCCATTCTTCTATAGTAGGCAAACAATTCTTCTTCCAATATTGCCCTACCAGCAGCCTTGCTGCTGTTATTAAATTCAACATCAAATTAATTTCCTTAGCATCAAAATCTACTATAATACCCAACAAAAATAGTTGAGGAGTAAACTTTATCTTTCTTTTAAAAATATTCTGAATGTTCCACTAAATTTTAATCCAAAAAGCTTTTACATTTCTACAAGTCCACCAAATATGAAAATAAGTTGCATCCAAACTACCACATCTGCAACATTTGTGCTGTAAGTTAGGATACATACAAGACAACTTTTGGGGATCCAAATGCCACCTGTAAAACATTTTATAAAAATTTTCTCTCAAACTTTGAGCTTGAGTAAATTTTACATTTCTAACCCAAATTATCTCCCATGTGTCCAATAGAATCGGCTCTTGAATATTTTGTGCCCATTTTACCATACAATCTTTAACTAATTCCGTTTCAGAATCCAATTCTATTAAGACATTATAAATTCTCTTTATATGAGCTCGAGTTTGATCTTTAATCTGTTTTATCAAATTCGCATCCTCTAAAGTAATACCAACCTTTTGATCTAAACTCCACCTAACTAACAATTGATTATATTGAAACCAAGAGGGTACAATATTTTCTTGCTTCAACTCAGCTAAAGATTTTAGTTGCCAGTCCTTCCCTTCCAAACTAAGTAATTCCTTATAAGAAATCCTATCCAAATTCACTCCTCTAGATACCCCCTCTATCACGTGTCCAGGAATCCCCCAAATTGGAATTTTATAATTTGACCTATAATAATACTTCTTCCAGACACGTAATAAAGCATTTCTTAAAATATGAGATTTAAAAACCTGATCTACTTTTTTATTATAAATTAAATATGCATGCCATCCATATAATAAATCCCATCCCTCAAGAAGAAGTATATTTTTATTTGTTAATTTAAGCCAATCACTAATCAGAGTTAAAGCCACCGCATCATAATACAATTTTAAATTAGGCGCCTTTCCCGTGCATCTTGTATAATCTTAAACTTAACTCTTAGTTTTTTCCCTGCCCAAATAAACTTATTAATACCCTTCTGCCATTCCTCCAAGTTGGCATCTTTTTTCAAAATAGGTATCATTTGGAACAAAAAAAGAAACTTTGGAAGAACATTCATTTTAACCGCTGAAATTCTCCCCAACGAAGATAATTGTAATTTTTTTCCAATCATTTAAATCCTTTTGCACTTTTACCCATAATGTCTCATAATTATTTTTGTATAATTTAACATCAGAAGCTGTAATATATACTCCCAGATATTTAACCTTTTTCACTATTTCAAAACCTGTTAATTTAGCTAACATATCCTTTTCCTTCATAGACATATTTTTCGGTAATATTTTAGTCTTATTGTTATTAACCTTAAAACGTGAAACTTTCCCATATTGGGTTATAATTTCCGTTAAATCCCTTACCGAATCTGTCAGTTGAGATAATGTCACAACCAGATCATCAGCAAAAGCTCTCAACCTGTAATCATTGTTTTATTTTTATTCCCTTTATTGTAGTTGATTCACGAATTTTAATTAATAAGATCTCCATTGTTAAAACAAATAACAATGGGGATAATGGACATCCTTGTCTAGTATCCTTTTCAATTTTAAATGCTTCTGTTAATCCTCCATTAATTATAATTTGTGCCGATTGCTGTTGGTATATAGCCTTAAGAGCATCCAAAATTTATCCCCAAAATTCATTTTCTCTACAACTTTCAATAAGAATCGCCAATTTAACTGATCAAAAGCAGAATTATTCTTAATATTGCAGTGATTATGAAAAACAAAGAAGATCTTACAATAATAACATATACAGCCTCTCCATACACATAAAAAGTCTTTAAGATCTATCCATATATTTTTTGCAAAGTTTTTGTGGTATGATAGTTGACAAAGGCAGAAGAATATGCCTAGCACCCATTCAGAATCCTAGCAATAGGTTTCTTTTTAGAATAATAACAATAAAAATGCTGCATTACCTAATTATTTTGCATGACTCTTCATGACAGGACAATTTTCTATTTCAAAAAAAATATATACAAAATAACAAATAATGGGAGTTCTGATCTGCATTCTGCTTTGTGACCACCCAGAACCCAGTTTACTCAGAGAAATTAAATTTAAGAACAAATTCAAAAGTTTACATATACTAATAATTCAGATGTAATAATTCAGATGTGGTAAAAGTCAATTTGAATAGAAAGAGCAATGCCCAAGGGAATCTCCTGAAATATTAATATCAACTGCATCATTTAGTAATGTCAAACTGAATAATGAAAAAAGAGGTAGCCTACCTAGCAGTAAGTGCACAGATGACTTTACTCCACTGCTCTACCACTGCAGAATGGTGCCTCCAATTTGCTACCATCTCTTTGGCAGTTTTCCAATAAGGTGGTGTAGGAAAACATCGAGAACAGGCTAGCAACCAGACTTCAAACAATACACCAATCAGTTTTTCAGCTAGATTTTCAGCAATACCACCTAACAAAGCAAAAGCTATTTTAAAAATCTTTCTTGGAAGGAATCCTCTACTATTTTTAATTTAAGAGATAATTGTGATCCATCTAGGTACTAATTATTCGCATTGTATACTGCCCTATGACATAGTCTTATGATCATATACTAGAATAGTCAGCTTTATTTAGAACTATATGCAAACTTCATGTATATATTAAATACTTGAATAGGTTATTTCCAACAATACTAATATGGAAATAAAAATACTGAAACTTTTAGTATAGATTGATTTGGATGTTAATGGATATATTAAAATGTTATTAAATTTGTAGGATATAATTAATACTATTAAAATGAATACATTCCCTCTTCTGAATAATGTCTTGAGAGGTATCCCATTGTTAATTCCAGATAAATATATTTGTAAAAATGATATGTTATTCAAAAAACAGATATCCATGAATCTCATTAGCTAAATTGAGATTAACATTTATGGATGACTGTTTTAATTTACCGGACTTTCAAAAATATAATTGGGCTAATATTTCATCAGCCATAAATATGCACAATAAAAAATACTCCAGTGTACATGAAATACATTTATGGGCCTTACTGGAAAGTTATTATTTGTCTCCATTAAGGTTAGGACAAGTTCTTGGAATTAACACATACAAAAAACAATGTTTTATTTCCAGGATTGTGGATATGAGAAATCTTTGGGTCTACTGCAATGTAAATTAGATTTTGATCTGAGACTCAGGCATAACATCGTGAGTCCTTCAAAACATTATATTGATATCAACAAATTAGTGATAAATATTAATTCATCAAAAAAATACTTTCAGTTTTCTGAATATTAGACAAGTCTAATATTTCAACATCATTTTAGGATAATGATGCTTTAAAATATTAAAATAGTAAGAAAAACAGGATGATGTTCTTAATTATATAATCTCTAGCTAAAAAATTATTTGGAAGTAATAAATAAGAAAAGCTGTGTCTAACCTTGTACTGTTGGAGGTGCCAGTAGAGTATCATTAATCTGCAGTAGAAACAATAATAAAACTTCCCATGTTTCTCTAGCCATAATGGTTGATTCATGAGCCAATTTCTGGACAGCTTTCAAAACTTGCAAACACAATTTAATCTGACTGGAACCTTGATCCTGCCTATAAGGAAGAAAACATACCTTAACAACACAAACTGCAAATAGTATCTGCAAAGACTGAAGTTGGGAAACAAGAGGGAGTATTTCAACAGCAAATTGATATTACAATATTGGGGAAAGGATACATAAAACTTCAGATTTGTATTTGAGGAAAAACAGATTCACTTAACAAATTATTTCTTAAATGAGACTGGGAGTTCTGTTGAATTGATTTCTAAACTTGCATTTCCAAAATTCTCTATTCTAATATCTTATTTCTTGACATTAAACCTGATTAATGAAACTCCATATGAGTCTTGTTCCCTAGTTGTAATATACTGTCAAGGGTCTGCCAGCAGGATTAAGAGAGGTTACTCATAAAAACGGTTTTCAAAGTATCTAAAGCAGCGGTTCTCAACCTATGGGTCGCGACCCCATTTGGGGTCGATCGACCATTTTTCGGGGGTCGCCAAAGAAGGCGATCTGCCATTTTCTCCGCCGCATGGGGGCGCGGCGCCGCGCATGGGGCAGCGCCGCGCATGGGGGCGCAGCGCCACGCATGCACAGAACGTTTGTGTGACAGGGGTCGCCGTCACACAAACATTGAGAACCGCTGATCTAAAGTCAGCAGTCAATAGAGTAATTTGAAATCTCTAAGCCACCTAGTTGAATTCAAAATACCTGTTAGTTCTTCTAAAAATATACCATTTTCTGAGATGCTGATTATGGAAGAAGAGCTTGAAACACATAGGGCATTATATTTTTACCTTAAATATTTTACTTCAACTGCTGGCAAATTTGTTGCAGAGTTTAAGATATTGCAAACAAATGTTAAAGAATAATTTTTTTATTGACTCAAAAACATAAATACTAATTAAAACACTTTTCTAAAACAGACGTTACCAAGATTTTTCTACAATTAATGAGTAATCTAAAACAGGGATTAGCTATAGTTTTAAGATAAATGATGGCTGATTGTATGGACTATTATATTGTATTGATTAATAATTATAGAGGCATAAAATTATGTGGTCTACATTACTTACCTAGGTACAAAGAGGTTCTGTAGATGTTTGAGAATGCTCTGAACATAAAGATTTGGTTCTTTAATAACAGGTGGAGGAATTGTATCTTTCGGTATAACCAGAGCCATAATCCAATCTGTATATACATCAACACAGTATTTCACTGTCTCACCATCCAAAGGGAGAGTCAGCCCATAGCAAACCACCTCCATTGTCCATTTTACCTAAGGAAATAAAAATACAGCAGTATTAATATTAGCAGTAGCAAAAATATACGTAATCAAGTCTGAAAAACAAAATCCAGTTCTTTTTCAGCTATATTCAAAATACGTGGGTCTAGAAATATTATGTATAGCAGTGGACTACAAACTATATTGTTTGTATGTTTCAGTGAATAGAACTTAATATGCCTGTACATGGTACAAAGTTAAACATGACATGGTTTTGCAGATTTAAATATATACTTATTATTTACATCCATGTATTTACAGATTCAAAATAGTGGTGATATGTGATGTGCAGAACTTTGAAAAGGCTTCTAGTTGATTTAGTACTTTTTTGTTCTTTTACTTCTATTTCACTGTAAAGTTATTAATAGAGACCAAAAGGTGATTGATTCACTAGGTCTACAATTAATCAGGTGAATAAAAAACTATTGTTACTTTAACTCTTGAGTTCTGATTGTTGCTATGTTTTCAACAATCACGAGCTTTTCTAGGAAGCTGTCTGAATATTTGAAAGACAATAATTCATTGTTTTAAAGGAGTGTAAGACTATAAAAATATCTCTAAATATTTCCATCTAGTTAATTTCAGGTATCAGAAATATTGTAAATGAAACAGAATTACATGGAATAGTTGAAGGGAAGTTCTGGAAGACCAAGAAAAATCTCTACTAGGACAGTTCAAAAATGGGACAGAACTGTGAAACAGAACCCACGGAACTCTGCAAAAGATCTCCTGTATAGTTTTGTGCAGTTTTCCACAAATCCTCATACAAAATTTGTTTACACAAAGATACGCAAGGGAGAGTTGTCAGAGAGAAATATTTTCTGAACTCATTACAAAAATCAATTGTTTCAAGTATATAAAAGAAAACTTTGATGAACCTCTTTTTTTTGGAAGAAAGTGCTCCGGACTGATGAAACAAAAACTGAACTTTACAGACACAACAACACAAGATGTTGATGAAGATTCTCAGTTGTTCCGGTACAGTTGTCTGGAAGTTCAGTCATGGAAATTGGACTCTTTGTTGATTTGAAACATTTTGCTATTTATCAAAGTAGCTTCCTCAATCTGAGGAAACTGGCTAGGGGGACCCTATATATGTCCCCCCATGTCTGAATGGGCTCTTTAGGTGAGTAGTGTGTAAGTATACCCATCAATTTCACAATGTAATTCCTTTAGACATATGGCTTTTGAATAGAGGAAAGGGGAATGGAAAAAAAGGGGGGAATTCTCCAAAACTGAACAAATTCCATCTCACTGTTAGTTAACTATAATTTAAGCTGAAATTATCAATAATCATATCAATTGCTGCATGACATGTGAGGTATATGATTTGAACACAGAGCACTAATATGAACACAGTAATCATGTTCTAATGGCAAACTATAGTTAGAATTCACTAAAATTGTTTGAACCTCACCAGTGTGGTTTGCCCACTTAGCAGTTTGAAAGCATGCAAATGCAAGTAGATTAATGGGTACCATTTCAGTAGGAAGATAACAGTGTTCTGTGTGCCTTTAGCATATAGCTATGCTGGCCACATGACCATGAAAAATATATTTGGACAACTCTGGCTCACTGAGCCAAGAAATGGAAATGAGCACTCTGCCCTAGAATCGGACAGAGAAACCTTTACCTTTTTTTAGTGTGGCTTGTACACTATAGTATATGGCTTTAGATATGAACCAGACCAGTAAGCTTCTTCATTAAAGCTAAATTAAATATGGCTTGGCAAATATGTAAATTTAACCAGGTGCACTTGCGGGAGCAAAAATGATGGAAGTCAGCTGAGAGTAGTAGAACACAAGGCTGTGAAGGACAGGGGGTCAAAAAGGCAGGGATGATGGCAGATAGGCATGTGGGCAGAGCTGAAGAATCCCTGCAGTCATACGCCATAGTGGACTGCTGGGTGGACCAATTTTGATTATGAGGGGCATTGCAACATCCTTACATTCAGGGACTTGGTAGTAAGAACTATTTGTTCAGCACTGTTGTAACTTCAGATGACCGCTGAACAAATGTTCATAATTTGAGGACTGCCTGTAATATGTTATTGGGCACAGATCCCGTCAAGATAATAGAACAAGAGATTTAGTTACAAATCTACATCACATTAGGGACAATATCTATTTCACTGTCTCACCATCCAAATGATACTTTGCTGCTGCTATAGATTCATTGTGGAATACATTCTGTCAGAATGCATAACAATGTCTGTTTCTCAGCACTGTTATTTTTGAATTCGAGAAACAACGTTACTGACATACACAGAAAGTGGAATTGAAACTTGGGCAGATGGATACTTACTTCTTTGTCAGTTTTTAGTAAGCTTTCATTTCCAGACAAATTCAAGATTTGGCCAAGAGGACGGACAACAGCATTTGCCACCTCCCTTCCCACATTTTCAGGATAACTGTGAAGTACGCTGGTGTGACCTTTATCATTTTGAATTACAAGATGTAGAGACCTCCACTCTGAGTACATAATGCCTTTATACTGCAGAGTATACTGTACCTAAAATGAAAGAAAACAGAATTAATATTATTTATTATTGTATACGATTGTGAATAAAAAGGATTGGTGCAACCCATAAAATTACTCAAAAAGGAATTAGAACCAATATTAATAAAATAGCATGGACTATTCAGTTGATATTTTTTTATCCATTCCTCCTATTTATTTTATTATTGAAACAACAGCAAACTTTTGAGACTAAAGAACATTCTTTTAGATCAGAGGTGTCAAACTGGCGGCCTGCGAGCTGGATGCATCATGCGCAGGTCACGCCCACCCTGGCTCCACAAAGGCAAAAAACACCATAAAATATTCGGCACAGCTCTAATGTTCTTTGCTCTTCTTTTTTGTTAAAAACCCACAATGGCCCTGGAGAATAAATTCTTCAATCTACCAACTAGAAATGTTGTGAAAAACTTAATCAATACCAATATTGGCCCATAGCTTTTGTAAAGACTTTAGGTACTAAAGCTTCTTCCCAAATCCTGACATCTTATAGGATAGAATTCATCATCTTTTGTAGAAGTTGTAAAAGTTCATGCTCAAAACATTTATAATAAAGACACAATAAAATCCATCTGGTCCAGGCACTTTTCCTGGTTTAATCTTTCTTTTATAGCTTCAGAGATTTCCCTTATAGTTATAGGTCCATTCATAATTTGTCTTTGTTTGTAATCCTTTTTTAGATATTCATTCATTTTTTCTACATAAATGTCATGTCCTTTATACAAATTAGGGTAATACTGATAAAATCCTTTTTGCATAGCCATTATCCATCTTCTATTGAGATTTCAATATCATTTTTTTTAGTTTATATGACAACCATTTGCCTGGTTTATTTGGAATTTCAAGGTTTATTTGCTTTACATAATATTATCATTTCTCTTACAGTTAACATATTTTTCAAATTTTTAAAGCACACAGACAGCTCTTTTAGCTTGTTTATGCCCACACATATTACTTTATTACTCTTGAGACAAACAATTACAAAATGAAGGGGAAAGATGCACAGACACATCCTGTGATTTTCAACTCTAAGTGGATACAGTGGGTGGAGGATTTATAAAAATTATTCAAATACAGTATTGAGATCTGCAGAGCATATATTACAGGAATATCAATCCCAAAAGAGCACTTTTATTCAAAAGCTGGTGCAGGTAGAGCAAAACTTAGAATAAGGTTTATGCTATGATCAGCATAAATAAGTAAGTTTATTACAGCAGGAATAATGCCTGCATTTTATTATTCAGGATTCAGATGAAAATATCCACTGAAGACATGTAATCCATTTACAACTATATTTAAGTATTTATGCAAATACAGTAGAACTTACGCAGTTCTGATGGCTGAAGAGCATCTCTCTCTATGTATGTATGTATGTATGTATGTATGTATGTATGTATATACACATACACACACACACACACACACACACACACACAGAGTTCTCCCTTAGCAACTGCTCTTTCAGCAACCATTCAAAGCTATAATGTTGCCAAAACTAACTTTATGACAAATGCCTGCATTTAAAACTTTTGCAGTGTCCTTCAGTCACGTTATAACCATTATAGTCAATGGAATGGATACTCATGATAAAAAGAATCTGTGGCCTAGTTTATTCAGTGAGTTAAAACACTGCAAAGCTACCCCGTGTGATTTATTCAATAAACTATGTTTAAGCATGCTGTGTAAACCAAGTTTATACCTTACCTTCCATGTCTTACATTTCTATGAATCACTCTCACAGATGACAATTCCCCATATTCAAGAAACATCAAGAAAAACATACTTCGGGATATATTGTAAATTAAGCATAGTTATGTTTAATATATATCAGGATTATAACTATATTTCCAATTTAAATATGAAAATGCAACTAATATATTACACAAATAATATAGTTTATGGATGTGCCTTCTTTGGTAAATTCTAAGACTTGCATATGGAAAAAATGTAAGTGTAGAATTTCATCAAAATATTTGAAAAAGGGAAGCATGAAGCTAAACATATTATTTTTAAAAATCTTATGTATTATGAAGTCCAATCTCCTGTGTAATGCTTTTGTTTTTTTAAAAAAAACAGAGCACTGAACACAAACAAATAAAGATATAAATATAGAGATAGACATAGATATACATATAAGCATTTTAATTCAAGAAAAATTTCTTCTGTTCAGTATGAATACGTAGCTTACTAGACATGGTCAAACAGCCTATAATAGAGATCATTAAGCTTATTCATTCAAATTTTTCCTCTGGAATATATTTATATAAGAGAATGTCTAGCTCAGCACAAAAGGAAAAGTTGCAAAGAACAATTGCAATAAGATTATGTAAGTGATATGCAAATGAAGGAAAGTCACACTAAACAGGAAACTGATATATTCAAAAGGATTTCCTTCTCTCCTATTAACTTCCTAAAGAGTCAATTTTTATTTCCTGGAGAAGAAAATGGAATAAAATTTCTGCCACTGCTTAAAAGATCAAGAAGCAATTACACATCTGTAGTATGTGAACCCATCCCAGCTATGTTTCTGACACCTTAATCTTCATGAATCAACATTTTTTCCTTGGTAATTCAAATCCAGATCACGGGGACTAACAAAGATACCTTTTGTTGGTGCAGTCCTTGGTCACATTATAAAACATCTGTGCTTTTAAGACAGAATTGTATATACATCATTATCATCATAAGATCCATTTGCATTTCTCATTCCTGGCTCTGCAGAGCTTGAGCCAATGAGAAATAGTTATAATTATAATCTCAAGTCAGCAGTTTTGGAGTTTTAAAATCATTGCATCCATTTTAACTCACTTTCTAGAACTAGTTTATCTCTCCCATCCAAGATTTGGTTTAGCTTTCTCTTCCTCATACAATTCCATTTATACAACTTCATTCTGCCTGTCACACTTTAAAACTTTGCAAAAGAATTCAAGATTTCAAATCTTTTTTTTTAAAAGACTGTATGCTATATCTTTCTGCATCCTACTTAACATTACTATATAGTAGTATATCAAATTAAATCAGGTACTTTAAGGAAAAAACCCCAAAGTTTTCATATTTATAAGATATATTTTTTGATATGGTATATGATATACGTTACGTGTACAGCATTTAGTTGAAGGAATGTCTTTGGTAATTTGGTATTTGATATTGTGATTTGGTTCATACAATGGTAAGTTATAATATATTGTACTTCCATGTTTCAGTATTTTGTGGAAACCAAACCACTACAATATTTTTCCTCAACTAGATTTTATCTGGGTTAACACTGTTCCTAACACAGACCAGTGATTCATAAAGAATATTCAGATGTGAATTTAAACCAAGTGGCTGCTAATTGAAGCTAAGGTTCAGCACCAGACAATAGAGAATGCTATGGCAGTTGATCAACAATTTGCCTGATTTGTGCCACTTCTGCACTGTTTGCCAATCATTCCTTGTTTGTTTTTAAACACACTGCACTGAGTTGCACACTGTGGTGTAGTTTGTTGAGTTTTAGTTTAGCATAATATGTGATCACCTAAACTGCTGCAGTTTCTTTCAGCAAAACATGGTTTATAGCTTAATGACCATAATGGTGATTTATTTATTATTATTCAGCAAGCTATAGCTTTGTCTATTGCATAAATTTAGTAACTTGGTCTTCTGAAAGATAAAGAAAAGATATTTTATATTCTACCACAAAGTGCACCTCACTCATTATCCTCACACCTCTATCCAGTTTCTACCACAATCCTGCTCCATCTTACTGAAACTAAAATGATCAAGGCTTGGAACTGGAGTGGCAATTCAGTTGGAGGAAGCAGGAGCAGCGGCTGATTGTTCATGTAGCTTTCAGAAGCAATAGAACTGACCCTAGTCAGCCAATGTCTTTTGGAAAGATTCCAGGCACCTGCTGCCTCCTGATTTCTGTGTGAATGGAGAGAGGGAATGGCCAGCAACGTAAAAGTAAAGAGGCTGCTGCCCACTACACACCAGAAAGCACAACCCAGAGTTTGGGGAGTTTATAGTTAGAGTACTCTTTACCTATCTGAAGAGTGCTTCTAAATTTTGGTTTATTCCATACAGCAAATACTGGTTTAAATACCAGGAACTTAAACTCTCCACAAATACTAGATAATCTCACTGTTTATCTTTTTGTATCATAACTGAAGTAGCAAGGAGTTGTACCTGCTAACACAAACACTGAAAACTTGGGATTTCATACCATAAATACTGGATTAAAAAACAAACCTGCCTGGGTATGCTCTTTTGCAAAGATGTGTTATTGGTAATCACAAAATAGGCCATTTATTATATAATCTGTCCAATAAACAGAGTTCCCTAGGCCATATACTGCACTCCAAAAATTAAAAACGCAATGCACAATCATTATTGGTTTAAAAAAAATACCCAAGGAACAAAAATGAAATGAAGAAAAATGAGCCCCAAAGAAATTAAAGAAATAAAAGTGCTAAATGGTCTTTAAACTTGAGAGAATTAATATAATAATAATAATAGTAGTAGTAGTAAAGTTGGAAGGGACCTTGGAGGTCATCTAATCCAACCCCCTGCTCAGGCAGGAAACCCTACACCATGTCGGAAAAATGGCTGTCCAGTCTCTTCTTAAAAACTTCCAGTATGATTTCACTTCATGTCAAAAAGATAATACCACTGCAACACAGAAGAATCTATGTATAGATATTTAGTTTTTGTTATTTAGTTTACAAAAAGTCAGTTTCTAAATATAATATTAAACTTTGGCCACATAACATTGATCAAGTTTTCAATTACATAGATAAAGGTCCAGTTAATAAGTAGAAAGTAAATATATATCATCCATGTAAGGTTTTAAACCTTTGAACTATGGTGCTAGAGAAGACTCCTGCAAGTCCCTTGGACTGCAAGGCGTTCAAACCAGTCAGTCTTAGAAGAGATCAACCCTGACTGCTCTTTAGAAGGCCAGATCCTGAAGTTGAAACTCAAATACTTTGGCCACCTAATGAGAAGGAAGGACT